CGCCAAGCACATAATTGGGTGAAGCATCAATTAAGGGGGAAGTTGATTCACTTTATTAATTCTAACTAATGTTGATTTATATTTTAGTTGGACAATGTGATATTATTTGTTTGTTTGATATTTATTTGCATGAGCATATATCTTTTTTGCCCATCTCTTTTTGATAATGTCAAAAGGGGGAAGATGGTGTAGATATGCATATATTCAGGAGGAATTGTATTTGTACATATCTTAATGGGGAAGATAGTATAGATTTGTATGTCTTTGTTTGATTTATGATGCAATACTTGAGGGGGACTAGCCTTGTATGATGCATATCTCCTAATGGGTTTGTCATTATCAAAAAGGGGAAAATTGTTGGACAATGTGCTATCATGAATATATATTTTTGCAATGTCCTTTGCCCATTGTCTTTTAGGTTTTGATAATGACAAAAGGGTGACAAAACATCATCATCATATTGTGCATCAAGGCTAAGAATCAAAGCTACAACAAGTTCATATCCGTCGTGAAGAAGGGACTTGAGCATCGCACCTTCCTTGCTCTGGCTTCTCCAACAAAGGAATCAACCCATCACAAAATCCAGAATCTAATACACAATTTCTCATACCGTAGAGATTCCAAGTAAGGGAATAGTAGAATGGAAATTTTGAGTAAAATCTAGTCGGAAACACACCCCTTCAACGGAAAGATAAACTTATTAGAATAGTTTATTCGAATAAGTCGTGATCTTTCCTGTGACTGAAATTAACCTGTTTTATTCGAATAAATCACCATTTATTCGAAAAAGTCCTGGCTTTTCACCCTGATTTATTCGAATAAATCAACATTTATTCGAATAGGAACTGGTTTTTCAAGCCACGCGATTGATCCAAACTATTCGAATAGTTCTTGAATTATTCGAATAAGTCGACAGTTTCAACTACCAAACAGCTAGTTTTTTGAATGCTTTTCATCCCTATCCACTCCCTAACTTCTATAAACTATCTACTTTCAAGATTATCTTCATAAGAACACTTAGAACACTTTGAAGAACATATCCTTTGAATATCCAAAGAGATTCTACTCAATCCCCTCCTTATATCCAAGCAAGGCAATTGTTTTGATTGCTAAATCATTTCTTGCTTGAGTTTTTCCTCATTGCTTGAGTCTTTGAGAGATATTGCCATATTCTAAAGAGCTTCATTGTATTTGCAACAATCTACTCCGTGTTGGGAGAATTACTTGGTTGCGGTTTGTTTTCTTACTTTATTGTAAGGGATTTGTATTCTTGGTGTTGGGATTACACCAAGTGGTAGAAATTCTAACGGTTTGTGAAATCAAACGTTAGGTGGAAGAAATCCTGAGTTTTGTGAAATCAAAACTTCGGTGGTAAGATAAGAGGCTTGTGAAATCAAGTTCTCGAGTTGTATTCGGATTCTCAAACTCCGTTAAGTTTGACGGGTTAGTGAAGGCTGGGCACGATTGCTTCGGGGACTTGATGTAGGCATTTAGGCCGAACCAGTATATATCGTGTGTGCATTGCTCTTATCCTTCACTTTATTTTTTTTGGTGCATTGTTTTTATTGAATATTCGTGAAGAACGTTTCCACGCAAAAAACTGGTCTTTTGGGCAACACCTCTATTCACCCCCCTCTAGAGGTGTGCGAGGCGTCTAACACTTCTCATTCCCATCTTGATACGGGGTATTACATTCACCCCCACTTAGGAATGCAACGTCCTTGTTGCATCCTTTTTTTTTGAACCCATAAATCTTCCCTGCTAGGTGAATTAAGCTCTTTTGGCCCGTCACGGTCGCATGGTTGCTCTGATACCATTTGTAACACCCCAGCCCCCACCCTAGCCGTAAGTGTCTGCTCATAGAATTGTAGACTGGCCCCACAAACCAACACAAGTCTTTCCCGCGCACTTTGTCCTCACTCGTGCGCGCCCAAGGAAAGTTCCCAGGGGGTCACCCATCCTAGAATTTCTCCAGATCAAACACGCTTAACTTTGGAGTTTCTAGGTGATGCTCGAAAAGAATATGCACCTTGTTGGTATGAGTAGTACTATCAATTCTTTTGAGCTCTTCCCATTCCCATCTTGATACGGGGTATTACAGATCTACTTGTCCCTACCCCAACCAAGGTACCCCAACCCTCAACCTGTCACTCCCCCCTGGCCAACCAACGCATCAGGTTAGATTACTAGCATGTACAGTTCACCATCGACTCCCGCTCCCCTCGGCATATTCATGATTGCCAACCCCCCTTTAATTTTTCTGATTACATATGTCACAAAGCCCAAACCATGGACTTAGCTAATCATTCGTTTGGCTCATCTCTCACTCTTTAGATACACGTTATCCTATCACTAATTTTGTTCATTATGAAAAATTACATGACAGGTACTGTTATTTTCAAGCTACTGTTTCTTCTACTAAGGTGCCCTGTAATTTTAAAGGGGCCACACAACATGCCAATTGGCGCTTGGCTATGCAACAAGAAATTATAGTCCTGGAGAATAATCCGACGTGGGAGATTATCGACCTTCCTCTTGATAGGAAGGTCTTGGGTTGTCAGTGGGTGTATCACACCAAATTTTAATCATGTGGTACTAAAGAGCATGATAAACTCATCTGGTTGTCTTCGGCGACCATGAAGAGTATGACATTGATTACACTAATGCTTTTGCTCCTGTGTCCAAGATGGGAACGGTACATATATTGTTATCTGTTGTTGTAGTACGAGGTTAGGAGATTCACTAGCTTGATATGAATAATACAATTTTAAATGGTGATCTTAATGAGGGGGTTTATATGTGAATACCTCCTAGATATTCTCAATCTATCCCAGGGAAGGTATGTAAGTTGCCCAAGGCTCTTTATGGCTTAACACGACCTCCTCGTAATTGGTTTGCTAAAATGAGTATTACTCTCACAAGTAGAGGTACAAACAGGCTCATAAGGATCATAATCTCTTTATTTTGCGACACAAGCATGATATTCTGACAGTCATGGTCGATTTTGATGTTATCTTGGTTGCAGGGAATAATCTGACTACGTGTGCCTCTTTTAAATAATGCTCGGAATGTTGTTTTCTTTTGAAGGACTTTGGCACGGTGAAGTATTCTTTTGGCATTGATTGTGCTCGTTCTTCTTCTCGATGGTTTTGTGCCAATGCAAGTACCTGTTGGATACTCCCTCCATCCAAAAAAGAACTTCCCACTTTGACTTGGTGCGCAAATTTATGTGAAATGAAAATTGCTTTGACTTTCCAATTATACCCCTCATCCTCTCTACCATGTTCCCCCACTGGCAGCACCATCTACCCCGTCCAACACCAAAACATCCGCACTGCCGCCGGCGATGCTTCCACACCGTTGCCGGCAACGCTTCCGCAACGCCGCCGGCGACGCTTCTGACCGCCGCCATCGACGCTTCCGCAACCCCCGCAATCGAAATCCCCCCCTTTGCAGCGCCCTCGCCGTCGCAAGCCCCCTTCCATTGCAGCTCCCAGCATCCTCTCTCCGTCGCAATCCACATCCATCGCCGTCGCATACCTGCAATCCGAACCCCTCGAAAAGATCTGTTTTGAGACTTCTCGTTGAGGAAAATCAAAATTCCACCACAGATCTGGAAAAAATTATAAATATTGTCACTGCAAATCTAGATCTGGTGAAGATGCAACCCAGAGATTTGAAAAAATATTTCTTCTTTTAGTTGATGAAAGAAGAAGGAAGAAAAAAGAGAAAAAAATGAAGAAAGAAGAAGAAGAAGACGGAAGAAGAAAGCATAAGAAGAAGAAGGAAGAAGGAAGAAAATAAAACAATAAAGAAAGAAGATGCGGAAGAAGAAAGCAGGAGAAGGAAGAAGAAAAAGAATGAAGAAGGAGAAAAAGAAAGAAAAACGGAAGAAAGAAAAAAGGGAGAAGAAGAATTGGATAAGGGCACAATTGACATTTCATTTACAAAAAGTTTCCAAAAAAGGAAACGGGAAGTTTTTTTGTGGACGGACCAAAAAGGAAAGTGGGAAGTTCTTTTTTGGATGGAGGGAGTATTTTGCATGAAGCTGGACTATTGGGTTGCAAGTGTTGTGCCACTCCTCTTTAGCCAACTTACAGCCTATCCACGTTGACTGAGACTCCCTTACATGATCCCTTACGGCATAGATGAACAGTGGGTCGTCTTATCTACCTGATTATTTCCATGCCTAATGTATCATATACTGTCCATGTGATGTCCCAATTTATGCAAGCACCGATTGTTGATCATAAGGTTGCTGCTATGCGTGTTCTACGCTATATTAAGAGTCATCCAGGCCAAGGTATTTTGTTGCACACCGACAGTAATCTTGAAATTACTGCATATTTGGATTCCTATTGGCTAGTTGTCCTTTGTCCATTGCTCTGTTAGCGGGTATTTTACTATGTTGGGTACCTCCTCTGTTTCATGGAAGACCAAAAACCAAACTACAATTTCTAAATTGTTCTTAGAGCCGAGTATAGAGCTATGTCGAATGTGTGGGTGGAGATCAGAAGGATGCAAGGTATTCTTAGTGCTCTTGGTGTCCCAAATCTGTACCCCCCAAGTTTGTATTGCAATAATCAATATATGTATTGCGACAAATCTAGTATTTCATGAGCGTATGAAGCATATTGATATTGATTGTCGTACAGTTCATGCATTTGTTCAGGGAGGTAAGGTGTCTACTCATTATGTTCCTGCATGTTATCAAATGGCATTACAAAAGCTTTGTCCAAACCTATTTTTGAATTTTTGTTATCCAAGTTGGGCATTCATGACATCTATGCCCTAACTTGAGGATAAGTATTGTTTTTGGTAAATAGATTTAGTACATATTTTGGGGCTAAATAGAGTGTGTGTTGGACTTGGTCTTAAGCTCATCTTTGTACTTGTATATATACCTGATTGTGATTAATGATGATTAATGAAACACAGAACGGTTTATGCAAAAATTTGACACAAATAACACAATTAAAAAAAGAAGTAATCTTGACTACCACTTTGTGATTGTTGGCATGTTTAATTTTGACAGAAAATGACAACGTCTTCCTCTGGATGACAGCACTTGATGATGATGGCACCATATCAAACTCACATGCATCTTTCTTCTTTTGGGAAACTTTACCTTTCAAGAAACAACCAAACTCAATAACTAGTCTTCCATAGCACTCAAAGAAGAACACATACTTAAATTGGGACGGGGTGAGCTCTCTGGTAAAATAGCATGTTTAATAAATAATGGAGTTACATTATTGAAATAATATGATAATTTGGATGTAATTGTTATTGCTTTATACCATTATAAATTACGGAGTAATACATTAGTACATATTATGTTTATAGACTGTAGAAGTTGGGAATTTATTCACAAAACTTAGTCATACCTGTCACCTTAAAATAACATTTACAAAACATTTGCTTTGGAGATTTAGCTTGGTCTAGTTCCAAAAATATTTGACAAATCTAGCATTTAGCAAACAAGGTGCAACTCGTTTTCAAAAGACCCCCTTTTTTCAATGTTTTAGCTATGGGTTAATAATATACTAAACCAAAAAAGACATGTTAAACTTCTCATACTTTTACTTTCTATTAACTTCTAGCAATAATGCATGAATGCAACACATGTTCAGAGGAAATAGCCTCTTGTTTTTAGGAATGCTTCAATACATTTTTTGCATTATCAGTTATCACACACCAAAACTTTTAAGGAGTTTCGAATGTAAGATTCTGTGTTTTAATTGCATAGCAATGTAAGCTCATCTCTGGAACCTGTTGTGGTAGAGTTCATTCATTCTTGTGATGCCAATAAGGCTTCTACATTTTTACTCCATTTGTACCATACGTAATATTAAGTGTTTGTCTACTTTTGACCTTTTGTAGTCAAAATTATAAAATTTTAACCATAAATCAAATAAAATTGATACTAAATATTGATACAAAAATATTTCTATATATTCATCTTGTAAAATATTTTCAAAACATAATGTTATCTAATTGATATACCATATACTTTTTATTTAATTATTGATTGAAAGTTGATTTTGGTTGACTCCAAAAAGTCAATACTAGACAAGTATATTCTAAGACAGAAGGAGTAAGGGTCTTGTTTCTCAACACGTTTTGGACCAAAGAAAACAAAAATCAAATGGGTAGTGCTAAGGGACCATAAGGTGTCGACACCAAGTGTACACTAAGGGAAACATGTCACAAACGTTGAGTGTCACTGTCCGAATTTGCCTGTGTACACTTGGTGTGCACACCTTGGGGTCCCCGAAGGTATTTTCAAAATCAAATTCTTCAAAAAATATTATTTGCTCACCAATCCTCCCCTTACCATATTTCTTGGTTGGTGTTGATAGAAAAACTAGATAGTGAATAAGAAATGTGTGGGGTGCAAGTTCGTGTCATCGTGTGGAACTTTGTGTACCCCTAGCATTATTCATTTGATTTTTAAAGCAAATCTAATTACTTCGTATATATCCCTATAAAATTAGGGGGTTCTTAAATATGCACAAAAGGAATTTTCTTTTACATTGTGTTTGGTTCATGAATTTTGGTAGGAAAAAGAAAAGAAACGTCTCCATATGAGGAAAACCTTTTTCTTTTGTTTGGTTAGTGAGAAAAAAAAGAAGACATTATATGCTTAGGAAAAATCAATTTTCATCAAGAAAAGTAGAGAAAAACATTTTCCTTTTCTTTTTTCTTCCAAGTTCATTTGCCAAACATGGTTTAAACAAATCGTACCTAGAGTGGGAAGATGATCCAAGATCTTGGCAGTCCCATCTTCATTATAAACCTCAACCAAGAATTTGGATTGGGATTCCAACCAAAATACCAGAAAATCATGGCGTCCCAGACCCAGATCCGTCACGAATTCCGGCCACCCGTCGGTGAAGCACCGCCCCTCCGCCGCAACTTCGTCCACCTTCACGCGCCACTCTCCCTCGCTGCCGCCGCATCCGACCCTCAGAGTCGGGGATTCCGGCAGCAGCTTCCCGAATTTATAGATGAACAACGGCGGCAACCTCTTCGAATATAGATGAAAGAAATGGAAATAATTACGATTACTTCGGGCGAGGGAGGGGAAAGAAAAAGAAAAGGCAGAGAGGAGCTTACGAGGTGAGAAGCAAAGTCGGCTTGGCTCAAAACCTTGAAGAAGGTGGGCTTGCTTTGGCCCATATTAGGGAGTGCTATTTTACGTCTTATCCTCAATTTGAGATCTTTAATAGAGATGGCTATAGAGTATTATTTAAAGTGAAATTTGCACTCCATACGACTAAAATATAATGACTTTCTTAATGTAGGACTTAAACTTTTTTATTTTCTAAATAGGACTTAATAATGACATTGTGGAAGGAATAATGTCCAGTAATGATGGACATTTTAGTTGAATAATGACTGCTTGATAATGACCAAAAGTCCTACCTTAAGAAATAAAAACATATGGTCTTATATTGGGAAAGTCATTATGTTTTAGTCCTATTTAGGTAAATTTCTCTTATTTAAATCTCTAGTACTTATTCATCCAGTTAGATTTTTTAATTAATTTTTTGAGATCAAATTAAATGAACTTTGGAGTATTTCAATAAATTTATCTCGTTGAGAATTATTAAATTTTTAATTTATTTTTTAATATACAATACTTCCTCCGTCCTAAAATGATCTTTCCAGTTCGGTTTATGGGGTTTGACTAAAATTATTTGGTGTAAAATTTAAAAAAAAACATATATTTTAAAACTACATCAAAATATCTATAAAATAAGAGGTGACATGATTATATTATTTTATCAAATAACTAACCAAAATAAATAAAGAAAATAATTATAGTTTGATCATGTGAATAGTCTGTGAGAAGATCATTTTAGGACGGAAGAAGTATATTTTAGAAGTCATTGATAATTAAAAGTTTGTCATGTTTTATTCAAGAAAGTTAAACTAGATGAATATACGAATTTGAAACAATATTTATAACCTTAAAGTAAGCACTTGAAATTTGTTTTAATTATAGAAGAGGTTTAGTGAGTTGCAATATTTAAACTCTGAAAAAAATAAAATTATGGTCCATTTGGTGAGTTCTCAAAGATTGATATAATGCCCATATAATAAGTTTTGAAATCCGAGAAAAATGGTGATCCAATTCAAAAGAGATCTTAATTAAATAATCAAATTTATAATTTATTTAGATTAATACAGGAAGACATTAATGACTAGATTTTACTTTAAACTAAGACAGTATGAGCCTGTTTGGGAAAAGCGTTAGAGATTAGCGTTAGCATTTTGAATAAAATTTTAACGGTGCAGATTACTTTGAAAACGCTAACGCTAAACACTGCTCGTAGATAGCCTTTTTCAAAATGTTAAGTCGCTAACACTAATAACTAACACTATTCCCAAACAGGCCCTATGAAACACGAGACTGCTGTTACTTGTACATGAAATAGAGACAATGAAAATGACAATGGAGTCGCCTGACACTTCTTCATACTAGGTACATAACATTACATTTTACTAAAAAACATTTTTATTTACTATTTCAGCCCAATAAGTTCTATGGTCTTAAATTCAACTCTTATCTTATCAACCTTAGTATATAAACACTAATAGATCAATGGGCATTTTGAAAAAATAAAAGACTTCCATATTGGCCGACTAAAAAAGGGTATGAAGGTCTATTAAGGTCACGGAAGCACAACTCTTCCAGGTTTTTAATAACTTTTGTTTACGTGAGCTTTTTTCATCAGTCATTAAATAAAACAAAACATTCTTATCACAACTTGTTGTGTATAACTTTTAATATAATTTTTAAATATGTAAATTATGTTTTTTTGATACTATTTTTTTAATAAAACCAATTAAAAATAAATACTTCCTCCGTCCCAAATTATAATGCATGTTCACTATTCACAGGGTCAAACTTCATTCACTTTCTTTCTCTATTTTCGTTAGCAATTTGATAAAATAAAATATTATTGTCACTACTAGTTTTGTAGATCTTTTGATGTAGTATTTTGATATGTAATTTTTATTTTTTAACTCTATACCATTTGTCATATAAAATGATTTGAAAATAACTTCAGTCAAACATCGTAAACCGAAACAGACGTTATAAAATGGAACGGAGGGAGTAATTTTTCATGATACCAGAAAAGTTTTTTTCGAGGGAGTAAAATTTTTCATCATAGTTTAACACCCACTACATCTTTCAAACTACCTCGCATTTCACTTTTCATATCATTTGTCTCATGCATATGTAGTGTTAGACTATGTTTTCCTCAACTATCTTTTTATTTATTATTTATTCTTATAAGAATGAGATCAGACAAATTCAAATCAGAACTTATTTCAATCAGATTAGAAACAGTCAGATCAGTAAAGAGAACATGACCTTAGCTCTCAAACAAACAATATGGTTTTATTTACAAATAATTACTCCATTTTCTTAATAAAAAGATTAAGTTTATACTCAACTTTGTCTCTCTAAATGCACTCAGTGACTTAATTTTGTCCATATATATTGATTTTAATCATATTAGTCTTGAAGGTACAAAATGTAATTCAAGTTAGTTTCTATGACAAAACATTGAAATGACACGTAAATTGACACAAGGGACCTTAAAAGAAGAACTAAAACAAAATGAGTTCTAAGATTGGGTAATGGCCTAAACAAGAGAAAACATAGACCACAAGATGCAAAGCACATTCCCTTATTGCTACATACCTAATGACTAATGCATGTACCTAATAGAGTTATAGGGTAACTAGTGACTAGCCTTGCTTCTTGTTTGTCTAAGAGAGGAGCCACAACCCTCCATTTTAGGGCTTGCTCTCATCACATCAACTTGGAGCAACCACCCACTGCTGCCATCTTCACCTTCTTCATCCCCGCCGGTGTAGCTGAAGGTGCAAGTGTCCCCGTCAAGTAGGCCGTTTTTAACTCTGAATTCGTTCCACCCCCTTCCCATGTCTGTCCTGTTCGTGCTCCTCTGGCAATGGGCAGACATCAACACGGGCCATTCCCGTCCCCGCAGATCCTCCAGCACAAGACACCTAGTTCCCATCATTCCCGTCTCCCTCAAGAAGTTGGATGGCATTGTCTAATAACCCAAATATATCCGTTTCAAAAAAAATCCGGGAGAAAAACAAGCAGAATAACATCGGGTATGAATGTAGAAACGATAAAAAGGGAGTAGTGTTGGCTACCACTCTGTATCTGTTGGAAGGTTTCATTTTGATAGAAAACGACATCGTCTTCTTCCTCCTCTTCCTGCTGACATCAACGATCGGTGGTGATGACTTCACGTCATCCTCTAAGGAGTCTTCCTCCTTTAGGGAAACTTTACCTTTTCAAGAAAGCAAGCAAAATGGGTAACTAAAGCATTCCCTAACTAGTTCACTTATACCCATCTTGGGTAAATTCATAAATCACATCAATTTCCAAAAAAAAAAACATGTCCCAATTTTTGAAGCAAATCTTTGGTCTCTGGCTTTTTTTTACTCTTCTTGTACTACTAGGCAATGTAAGTCACAAACACTATTCTCAAACAGTGCCGTAATTATACAATCTTTGTTGGGGTATTCATACCACTTAAATATGCTAGATTTAACCAATTGAATAAACAAGCAAAAGGGATTTTTCCATGCAGAAAAAAATTGTACCTTGGGCTGCTGTGGACAGATGACTCAAGATCTTGGCAGTCCCATCTTCATTGTAAACCTCAACCAAGAATCTGGATTGGGATTCCAGCCAAAATACCAGAAAATCATGGCGCCCCAGACCCAGATCCGTCACGAATTCCGGCCACCCGTCGGTGAAGCACCGCCCCTCCGCCGCAACTTCGTCCGCCTTCACGCGCCACTCTCCCTCGCTGCCGCCGCATCGGACCCTCAGAATCGGGCATTCCGGCAGCAGCTTACCGAATTTATAGATGAAATACGGCGGCAACCTCTTCGAAGAGAGACAAAATTGGAATTACTTCTGGTGGGGGGAATCTTTTTAGACTTTTAGAAGAGAAAAAGAAAAGGGGGAGAAGAGAAAGGAGATCGGAGGAGCTTACGAGGTGAGTAGCGAAGTCGTCGATCAGAACCTTGAAGAACGCAGGCATGATTTGGGCCATATTACTAATGAGAGTAATTACGATGCTAGACTTTAATTACTCCGGCTGCTTGGTAGGTAAATATAGGGGTTGAAGATTCACCTTGATTTATCACAAAATTACACTGTCATATTCTAAAGGTTCAACATCATCAGAAATATATTTTTCAGTAGAAACTATGAGGCCTAACATTATTTAAAATATACTACAGGGTGCTCAAAATTAAGGGAAATATACTCCCTCCGTCCCCCTAAGATGTTTTCATTTTGACTTTTAGTGATTTTTAAGGAGAGTTAAAAAAAAGTGAAAGTTTACCATAATACCCTTAATGAAAATGGGTGGAGTGCATTAAATGAGGTGGGTGAGGTGTAATAAATAAAGTAAGTGGGGGTAGTTGTGGTATTTTAATTGTTAAAAAATGAAATGAGAAGATCTATTGTGGACAAAGAAAAAGGGCTATTGAGAAGATCTATGAGGGACGGAGGGAGTACTTCTTAAGTACATTTTGTCTATTTGACCGTTAGAACTAAAAGTTTTAGTACTTTGACAAATATAGAATTTACCATACAAAAATTATTTTATTAAATTTAAATAAAATTATTTAGTTTCTCAAAGTAAAAGAAGTTTTAATCCTAGCATCTAAATAGGCGGAATGTAGCTTCAAAGTATAATACCACAAAATTTAAGTACCCCAGAGTATATTTTGGATAATGCGGGAACTAAAAGATCTTACTAACAAATTAAGGGTACCCAGAATTATATTTCAAATAATGTGAAATTTGAAAGTCATTACAAAAAATCCAAGGTACCCTAAAGTAATTTTCTGTTGATCTATTAACCAGAATTATGGCCTACAAGTTTTGACTTTTGAGCATTTCTTAATTTAAGAGTTCAAACTTAGGACACTTGGGGGTGGGATCCTTTGTCCCCTCTTCGTGTCCATTCAAATTCTGACACACAACTCACCCCCACCTCTAAACCCACCCACCTATATGTATATGCCTCGTATCCCACCACCCTTCAAAAAATCAAAGATGGGGTTAGAGGTGGGATAGTTATGCATGTGCAGAATGTGAATGGTGGGAGAGAGAAGAAGGATAGAGGATTCAAGCCCGAGATACTTATCTTTAATATTTTTTTTGTACTTATAAAAAGTGATGCTTAGGTGGTCTTAAAGTCCATATTTAAAATGTAGACTTTTTTACTTTTTTATGGGCTTGCCTTGTGAAAATGAAAGTATTATTCAAAAAAACACAAATTCTTCGAAATTGATTATACATACGACGTCTTTGGAAGTATTTGGAATCTCCTAAATATTTGTTGGACATTCAACACATATTGTCTTATATGTAAAATTGAGCATAAAGAAACAATAACTTTTTGTTTAGTTTTCATGTTTGTGTAAAAATCAAACCAATAAACCAAACCTAACACTACATATTGTTATTGCTTCATCAAGTTAGTATTTTTACAATTTTTTAATACTTATAAACTTCTACTTTCATAAACCAAAATAATTGGGGAAAAAACCGAAATAAAAACCGTTTAAAACCGAACCGAATAACCAATGATTTACATATTTTTCATTCAAAACCGAATCGAACCGAACCACTGACTCATCTTCCATTTTGTCTTTGATTTTGGGTAAAAACTGAACTTCCAAAACTAAACCCACCCTAAAGGGAGTTATATCGAGCAAACTTTCTCGGGAAATCACTGGTGCTAAAGGTGCACGCACAAAAACTAATTTCCCATAGGATGATAATCATTTGATATACTTCTTCCGTCCCAAAATATTTTTTACACTTGTTTTTTCAACAGTCGTGGGAATTTTTGTTTAATTCTACATTTTCATTAGTTATTTGATAAAATAAAATTCTTGACATCCCTTATTTTGAAGAATTTTTCATTAGTTTTTTTATATGTAAATTTTATGTTTTTTATTCATATACCAATATGTAAATAAAATGAAATAAAAAAACTTAATATTTTACCTCAAGAATATAAGTTTGACAAATATTTAGGGACAAAGAGAATATGTCCCACTAGAGGTTGTTTAAGGAAAATGCTAGTCACAAACTTAAAGTTCACAAACTTCACAAACTTGCCTTTTGTGGAATTAAAATTAAAATAATTTTTAATATTTGAGTGCATCTTAGTTCTAAGAAAGTGTTAAAAAGGCAAGTTTGTGAAGTTTGTGAACTTTAAGTTTGTGACTCTAGCATTACTCGTTGTTTAAAGATGAACACAAACGACATAGAGTGGTCCAAAAGTGGACCAGACATGACCACCTGGGCCCATCGTTCAATGATTGCGCTAGAGTCTAAAGGCTCCAATCCAATAAATATAGCATAAGGGCTACAATTCTAACAATACGGTACTCCCTCCATTTCTAAATATATTTCACATTTGTTTTTTTAACAGTTGTGGTAATTTTTATTTAATTCTATATTTTCATTAGTTATTGATAAAAAAATTCCTGACACCTCTTATTTTGAAAAACTTTTCATGTAGTTTTTTGATATGCAAATTTTATTTTTTTATTTATATACCAATATGTAAATAAAATAGATTGAAAAATCTTGATATTTTACCTCAAAAATAGAAATGTAAAATATATTTAAGAACGAAGGGAAGGGAGTATAATTAATCTATGGTCTACTATGATTCTTCACGTGACTATAGTAAGGTCACACGATAACATTATCTATTACTCCCTCCGTCCCAATTTAAATCGTCTGTTTTGACTTTTGGCATATTTAAGAAAAATAAAAAAAAATAGAGTTGATTTTTTCAAAATTGTCATTACTTTTTAGAAGGGGTGACGATGAATGAAAAAATAAGGTGGAGAAGAGTGACTTATTTTAAGGATAGTTTAGATATCTTACTTATAAAAGTTTACGATAACAAGTAACATGCAAATTATTTTGAGACAGAGAAAAAAGGTAAATATGCAATTTAAAATGGGACAGAGGGAGTATTTCAATTATAAATATCGATGTAGTCCCTCATTTGAACCAATTTGATTTTGAGAGTTCTATAGCCATATATTGTCTCTTTTTGTACTCCTTCACTAAGAATATTAATAACACTTCGATTACAAATATTTCCAGTTTTCCACATACAATATTTATGTAACACTGTATTCTATTTTTACTTGGTTAAACTTGGAGATTTTCCCCTTTCTTGAAAGACAAACAAACCGTGATGACTATACAACATTGTTGCACTTTACAGTTCACATGGCAGTCAATCCAATATTCCACGAGCAAACAAAGCATATTGAGATCGATTTTCACTCTGTTCATGATGAGCTTTTGTGTGGCATAATTCACACAAAGCATTAGTCCCCCTCCCATCAACTAGTCGACATTCATATCAAACCTTTGGGAAAATCTCTATTGGAAGTTCAAACCCCCATGCTTGAAACTTTTTGAGAAAAAATTGCAAAAAAAAAAAAGAAAAAGGTGTTACCGGTTTGACCGGCCAGTTCACACCGGTTTGGACCAATTCAAAGCAGATCCCAGTCCTTTGGACTGAACCAAACTCATTCAACCAGCGATTCACCAGTTCACAGTCCGAACTAGTCCGATCCAGTTTATAATACTATGGCCGGATGATTCTAATTTTTAAAATCAACAAGAATCAATTGGTGCTAAACACACACCAGAAGCTACTTTTGAAAAGCAGCCCATTGTTAAATCCCTACAATCAACAGATGAATCAAATAAATCATTCTAGCTAATCTTGAGGATCCAAATTAGCCGAGAGAACAATTCAAACCAAATGAGCCATAAAAACCGTCAATATGTCCCCAAGTGGCAAACGAAAGGCACAAAACAGATCATCAAACACATAATAACAACAATAATCATAATCATAATAATAATAATAAGGGCGGGGTTCCAGTGCCACTGGAATCCGGTGCCACTGGCATTTTGGGGCACCTCCGGTGCTCCGTTCGCAAAATTGACGGTTCCTACCCCCCCTAACCCACCCCCTAAACCCCCCACCCTACCCCCGCCCCTGCACCCCCGCCCCAACCCCGCCGTAAGCCCCCCACAAAATGTGTGGCTATTATGCGTTGCTTAATAGCCACACATTTTGTGGGGGGCTTACGGCGGGGTTGGGGTGGGGGTGCAGGGGCGGGGGTAGGGTGGGGGGTTTAGGGGGTGGGTTAGGGGGGTAGGAACCGTCAATTTTGGGTTTGGAGCACCGGAGGTGCCCCAAAATGCCAGTGGCACCGGAGTGGCACCGGATTCCAGTGGCACTAGAACCGGGCCGTAATAATAATAATAATAATAATAATAATAATAATAATAATAATAATAATGCTCTGCAATAATGGACTAAAAGGCACCTACCTAAGAAGAGTAACCAGTTGCTAGCCATGGCTTTATTGGCCTATAGACTTCCTCAGTCTCTGCACAGCAACTCGGAGCAGCCAGCCGCGGCTAGTGTTATCTTGTTCATTCTCGTCGTAGTTGTAGGTGAAGGTGCAAGTGTCCCCTGGGAGTAGGCGACTTTGAGTTGTAAAGTCACTCCACCCCTTTCCCAACTCCTTGCTCCTGTCCCCATTGATCCGCATCGGCCATTCCCTTCCGGTTGTGTCCTTCACCACCCCCCACTTGCTTTTGATCCCTGTCTCTCTCATGAAGTTGGCTGGTATTGGCTGCTCAACAATATTAATCACCAAGCGTTATGTTGTTCGTTAAACCAAACCAAACAAAGGGTCATTTGTGTCATCCGTCGCGGACTTTTCTGGGTCTTTTTGGTTTTAGCACAATATTCCTGAAATGGGCAATGCCTCGGGAACCGTAGTTGTGACACCACTTCTGACACCAAAGGCAACTAGAGTAACTTCCACACAGACACTTAGAGGGTGTTTGGGAGTGTGGTGGATTATTGAAAAAGTAGAGGTTTTAAGTCGAAGCGGAAAGCAGCTATTTTTAACTTTGCTTAAAAACACTTCTGGAGCCTATTTTAGACTGCAGAAGTCATAATCTATAAGCAAAAGAAGATTGACAAACACGACAAACATGATTTTAGTGAAGCAAAAGTTCATAAGCAACTTTTAAACGCAACCCCAAACACCCTCTTATTGACTTATCATCTGTGTGGCTTTGGTGTCAAAAAAGTAAAAAAGAGTGTCACAAGTGGGGTTCCCCCGGCCTTTCTTTTAAATAGTAAAATAGCGTCGGGTGACCTTGGATTCTCCATATTCGACATTGTTAGCTTGCTCATTACCCTATGGAGGAATCGTTGGCAAAAAGTAACATCCTTAATCAACGGTAAAAGTGTAGTACGTGTATATGATGCTTTTTACTAAATGTTGTGCTAAAACTCAAAAATCAAGAAGTGTTCGTGCGTAACGGAGCAAATAACACAATAAAAAAGAAAAGGAAGTAATCTAGACTACCGCTCTGTATCTGTTGGAACGTTTAAATTTGGCTGAAAATGACAATGTCTTCCCCTTGATGACATTGGTTGGCGATGATGGCACCACATCTAACTCACATGCATCTTCCTTCCTTGGGGAAACATTACCTTTCAAGAAACAGCCAAACTCAGTAACTAGTCATCAAGAGCACTTAGACGAGGACGGGTGCCCAAATTGGGACTTCAAATTAAAATTGATGATATTTTGAATGTAAATATTATTGCCTTTTACCTGAACAAATTAATACTCCGCATATAAGTACTCTGTAATAGGTTTAGAGACTGAAAAAAGTTCTTTATATAATTACAAAACTCATAGATACCTGTCACCTTAAAAATAACATTTACAAAACGTTTGTTTGGGTGATTTAACTTGGTCAATTTAGTCAAGATTTGACAAATCAAGCATTTAGCAAACAAGCTGCCACTTGTTTTACTTCTTTTTTTACTTGTTCATCGCCAATGGAGCTAAAAGAGCCTTTTTTTTACAATGCTTTAGGTTTGGGTGAATAATGGACTAGACAAAACACACACATTAAACTTCTCATATACGGAGAACTAAAATTTGATTTAATTTTTAAAAATTACTCTGAATATATCAGTATATCACTACCCAATGCACAAAATGAATTTTCACTTAAACAAACAAATTGTACCTTGAAGGCAATCAAATTCCTTGGCAGTCCCATCTTCATTAAAAACCTCAACCAGGAACTTGGATTGGGATTCCAACCAAAACACCAGAAAATCATGGCGTCCCAGACCCAGATCCCTCACGAATTCCGGCCACCCATCGGTGAAGCACCGCCCCTCCGCCGCAACTTCGCCCAGCTTCACGCGCCACGAGGCCTCCCCGCCGCCGCATTCGACCGTCAGAATCGGGCATTCCGGCAGCAGCTTCCCGAATTTATAGATGAAATACGGCGGCAACCTCTTCGAAGAAAAAATAAATTGTAAAAATTTCAGAAAAAAATTGGGAGTATAAAGTACAGAGAGAAATGAGAAAAGGGGAAGAAAAAAAGTAGATCGGAGGAGGAGCGTACGAGGTGAGTAGCGAAGTCGTCGCCGATTAATACCTTGAAGAAAGCAGGCTTGCTTTGGCCCATATTATTATTCATCATTCTGTAGAAGACTAGTTACTCCACGGGATTTTCAACTCACGGGAAAAACAAAGTAAAAAATGTAACTGAAATCTTGGCAATAGTGTGTCCATTCATCTTAGCAAAAAATTATCCACCATAATTTCAATTTTACATATTTTTTTAAAAATAATCTCATTTTTAACTGCGATACAAAATAATTTCAACTTTATTGAAATTTAAGACTTTTAGATCGCAATTGAGTTACTAAAGGCGGGCTAACGGGATTGGCCCATTTTGTGCAACAAAATGAAAATGAGATTATTTTGATGAATTTTTTGTTTTTTAATTTTTTTTGGTAATGCACATGGTTATTATTGGTAATGTAAATGCATTTTAACTCTAATCTCGGAAATAAAAATATGAAACTCCTATTTTGGTATATCTTCAATGCTTTACTCCTACTTCAGTTTTTTTCCATTGATTATCTTATTTATTTCATTAATTTTGTATGATTTTAGTTATCTTTCTCATTTTCGTTATTTTTTATATTCATTTTTTTATTTTTATAAGGTAAGATTAATCTTTAAAAAAAGAAAAAGAAATGAAGGGAGAAAGTCATTTTGAAAAAATTAAATGAAAATTTCAAAAAAATTAAAAAATGAAAATTCATCAAAAATAATCTCAACTTTCATTTTGTTGCGCAAAACATGTCACTTTTGTTATCCCACCGTTAGCAACTTAAAAATCTAAAAGTCACAAATTTTAGTAAACTTAAAATTATTATGCATCACAGTTAAAGGTAGATTATTTTTAAAAGTTTGAGTAAAGTTATGATTATTTTGGATAATTTTTCATTCAATCTTATAACACAAATCTTCCAAAAGAGTAGTACTACTTCCATTAGTTCCACCCCAAAAAATGTAATATAAGAAAACATCAGGCTCTAACTTTTGCCACATTAACTTTCTGTTAACTTTCCGTCGTTTTTCAAAATCCTGCAATTCTATAGCTCGAAAATCTGTCTCTCCGTTTTTTAAAATTAATCATCATTTTTAATTCCATTTTTTAAAGAAAACAAAATACATATAAAAAACAAAACACATGAGAAAACAAAACTTATAAACATTTAATACAAATACTTATTTATAAATAAAAATAGATAAATAATAAAAAATAAAATAAATGTAATAAATTCAAATTGAAAAAATTAAATAAAAAGATTAAAATTAATTAAATATTAATTATTGAAATTAAAAAATTGTAATAAAAAAATTAAGAAATCACCCAAATAGGAGTAAAGTATGGAGAAAATATTAAAATAGGAGTTCCATATTTTTATTACCTAAATAAGAGTTTGAACTGTGGTAATGACATAGTGTGACATTGTACATGAGCATTTTATTATACTTTTTGTAATATATTGTAATATACCCCCGGTCTTGATTGATAATGTAAATGAATTTTTACTTTTATTTCAGGACTAAACACATATAACTCTTATTTTAGTATTTTTTTCAATATAATGTTACACTTCTATTTTAATTTTTTTTAATAAAAATTTTGTTTGAGTTCATGCATAGCATAAGTCAAAATGCTACTCCCTCCGTCCCCCTGTATTTGTCCACTTTCATTTTTACACACCATCCAATGCACTTCTTTAATCCATTTTATTTTGTAATTTGTATATTAAAAAATTATAGAAATTATATATTAATAATCTATATGTTAAGACAAATCAAACAAGATCACACATGACTATATTTAGGCTTACACATTGAGAGAATTTGATGAGTCAAAGTGCTTCGATGAACAGTTCCAAAAGTTAAATGTGGACAAAAACAGGGGGACGGAGGGAGTAATATTTATTATTTACAAGTGAAATTAAATTACTAAATCTTTATGTTAGGTTAAAATAATTGGGCGACTATTTCGTCCATGAAATTTAAAATGGCGAGACCCAATTTTTTTTTTTCAAATGACCCCAACCCTGAATCAGGGAAAAAGTAAAAGAATCATGCTACACTTACACCAAAAAATATATCCTAATTGTACACAACAGTTATGCACAAATATTTTGATGGTTTACACCGACACTAGTGTTGGTGCCTTAACAAAAATTTACACGGACACAAATATTGGTGCGTTAACAAAAATTAGTTTTACATCAATACAAAATGTTGGTGCAAACCTGTGGGATACAAATAAGGGTATAAATGTTGGGGTACACATAGCTTAATCCAAAGTAAAAATCTCGTCTTGCCGTTGTCGCCCGGGGCAAATAGAAAGTATCTCATCCCACAGCTCCCACCTTTTTTTAATATAAACCAAAATCAACAAACTATTATAGGGCATCCTAACGGTACACCAAAATGGGGTACCAAATTTGTAAATCACGCAAACACAGACAAATTAGACATTTAGTGCATGTGATCCACAAATACTATAAGTGTCTGTTTTCTCTGTTTTTGCCTAGTGTACAAATAGGGTATCACATTTTAGTGTACCCCTAGATTTATTCAATTATTATTTGTCCACACTCCTTACTCCCTTTACCATGGTTTCATTTTTTCTTCTTTCAATATCCGGACGCTACTAAAAGTCTGTTCTTTAGATCTTAAATTCTTAACTTTCAATTCTTTCCAGTTTCTTTCAGTTCTTCTAGTTCCTTTCAGTTTTTTCTAGTTCCTTTGAGTTTCTTCCAGTTCCTTCCATTTTTCTTCAAACTCTTTCTACTCCTCAACCAATTAAACTAAAAATGATATATTTTTAATGTGATTATTATTATTATTATTATTATTATTATTATTATTACAACTGTCATGTTCATAACTATAGTTTATAAATTATTTTTTTCATCTCACTATCTTTACGATTCACACTCATTATTTTTTCTTCAACTTTTAAATATGAATAAAAAATGTGTATTAATCTACATGATAAAATAGGAAAATATCAATATTTTAAACTATATTAGAAAATTATGAATAAAATAGTTACATAGAATGTTTTATTAATCTAACTTTATATAAGACCCCTCATCTTTCCCTTTATTATTCAAATTTTTCCGATTTTTCTAATTTAAATAAAAAATTGAAAGTCAAAATAGTTTAGAGAAAAATAATAAAATAGGAATAAAACATAAAAAATGTGAAAAAAAAGTTTTGTCTTTATTCCAAAAATAGGAGTTACAATGAAAATAAAATGTCAATCATGAAAGAAAAAATAGGTTTGATTACATTGTGTGACATGTCGGATACTTAAAACAAAATCTTGTAATATATAAAATGCAATTATAAATATATTATTTATAATAAATACTGAATAAATAAATTGAGGTGCAACGTAACCATAGTAACTTTTTAAAATTTAACATTTCGATATCTATGCTAACTTTATACGGAGTATTATAATTATTTTTTTTACATTTTTTTTTGTGTATGAAAAACAACGTGATGATGATGATGATGATAATAATTTATAACAACAAAAATTAGAATGAGAATAATATTAAAATACACTAAAATAAATTTTTTTTAAAGTTTTTTTAGATTTTCCAATTTTTTGAAATTTTTCCAAGTTTCTTCCAATTTCTTCTAGTTCTTTTAAGTTTTTTCCTGTTCTTCCAGTTTCTTCCAATTTTTTCCAGTTTCTTCCAATATCCAGCTCTTTTTTCCAATCCTAAAGAACAGGCTCTAAAAGGCACTCGATCACACTATTGAAAGATGTAATGAAGTTCTCTAATAAAAACGCTAGAAATAAATTATCTGGAGAAAAACGAGTTGTACTCGAAAATGATTTTTGCTTGAATCTTCATGTTTTACCGAGAGTATCGAGAGATAAAATTGTTGTGGTAATTTGAAAATTTCAAAATCGAGGTTGTATTGTAAAGATTTTATGTTGATAAAGAATATGAGATTGAATTCATCTACGTCCTTTTACGCAGGTAGGGATACAAGCTTTTTCTAATTAGATAATCAAAGTCAGAAATGAAAAAATGGCCAATCAATCGATGGGACTGTTGATGTTGAAATTCCACACGAATTATTCTTGACACAAGTTGCCCCCTCAAGAGTATTATGGACAACACTAATCCAAACTCCAAAGCTATTGAAAAATATAAAAAAAATTATTTGTTCTTAGTGGATAGGACACTATTATCACCCACTCTCGAACTTGTTGAAATGTATATGATTTGTCCTATCCCTCATTCACGGTGATGAAGAGGAAACCTTGAGTTATGATTTTTCATACCAAGCAGATGTAGACGTAAATATTGATGGCGATTGAATAACAAGTGAATTTTTTTATTAATTCAAATCTTTTAAGATCCAAACCATAAAATAATTTTGAAAAAGAGGTTGCCGATTATATTATTGAGAAACATTGATCAAACATGAGGATTGTGTAATGGTAGAAGATTAGTTGTTGAAGAGCTGCGAAAGAATATAATATTATCAATATAATTCAATGGGGAAATCGAGTCAGGGAAGAGGTTTACATACCTCCAAATAAATTTGGTACTATCTGATTCCGGATTACCCCTGAAATTCTAGAGAAGACAAATCCCAATATTCTTATACTCTGTATTTTGATATGACTATTAACGAAAGTAAAGGTCAAACATTAACTTTTGTTAGATTATTTTTTTTTCAAGTCAGTGTTCACTCATGGTCAATTTTATATTGTTGTTTCATGAGTGAAGACAAATACATGATTAAAAAAATTGATTTTAGATAACACTTAAAATTCTTTCAATCGTATCAAAAATATTGTATACCTTGAAGCCTTTCAAAAAATTGGATTGAAAAACAATTTTGTCATTTACGCTTGCGTGCAATTTCTTAAATATTACTGGAGTATTTATTCTACTTTGACGTTGATGTTGATAGTAACAAAAAATCATAGTAGAAATATAATATCTCTAATACCGAAAGATATTACATAGAAAAACATTGTTTGAATCGATAAAATTTTTGTTTGGATTCATTCATGGCACAAGTCAAAATATTACGTAGTATTTAATAACTACAAGTGAAATAATTGATAAATCTTTATGTGTAATTAATTAACAAGTTAAACTACTAGGGAGGTGTAGCACCTAATTAATTAAGAAAATGCTAGGGGTACACCAAAAGTGTACCCCAAATATCCCACGCCCCCTCCATAACCACAAAAAAAGACATATAAATTTTTTTTAAAAAAAATTAAAAATAAAAACAAAATAAAATGAATAGTGTTAAGCCATGTAGTATACATTTAGGGTACATCTTTGTTGTACCCCTAATATCTCCCAATTAAGAAACAAGTTAAATCTTCATGTTAGGTCAAAATAATTGGGCGAGTGTTACGTACATGAAATTTGAAATGGCTTTGTACGTGATGTAAGGGAGTTCGTACTTCGTAGGGAGGTGTAGCACCTAAGTTTTGTTTTTTTTTTTCAAATGACCCAAACGTTAATTGGGGAAAAAAGTAAAAATCCCATGCTGCCATTGTCGCCTGTCGGCCTGGGTAAATAGAAATTACTCGCCCGGACTATTTGACTACTTCTGATTTTTTTTGTTAAAATTTGTAAATTTAGCCCCAAATTAAATTAGAATTATATTTGATATTGATATAAAAATAGCTTCATTAGATATATTATATATGATATTCTTAAAATATTATTTTATTTAATTAACATTAAATATATATTTAATTTAATTTTAAGTCAAATATTGAAAACGCTAAACTGAAAAAGTCAAAATTGAAGAATGAAATACTAACTCGTTCCGCTGCTCCCACCCTTTTTTTTTTTTAATATGGACCAAAATCAACGAATTATTTGTACTCACTCCTTATTCCCATTTCCATTGACGCTATTAAAATGCTTTCCCATTCTTCCCCTCATCTTCAAGTCTCACAAAAACCCAAACCCTTAAACCTCTTTGCCCCCATCCAATCCCAAATCTCCGCCCACCCCCGCTTCTATCTCTTCATTGCCTTCGTCTTCCTCCAGATCGGCATCATTTTCCTCGCCCGGAACCCCCCGCCCCGCCAAAACGTCCACCATCTTCCGAATGGGACGCTCTCGAATCCGGCCGCTTCCTGCGGCGGGCTCGGCCCCGCCGACGGAAGGCGGAGGATGCGAGTACGGCAGGGTTTACGTGTACGACATGCCGCCGGTGTTCAACCGCGACTTGATCCCGAGGAACTTGCCGGATATGGATCCTTGGAATTGGTTCCAAATCAACGACGGGTTCGGGAAGCGGACCGGCGAGTTCGCCGGGACCTTGCCGGTGAATGCCGCCAAGGCGTGGTACCTGACGAACCAGTTCTCGCTGGAGGTGATCTTCCACCGCCGGGTCCTGAACTACCGGTGCCGAACGACGGAGCCGGAGTCGGCTATGGCATTCTACATCCCGTTCTACGCCGGGCTCGCGGTGGCGAAGCATTTGTGGGTGGACGACTTCGAGAAGCGGGACCGGCTCGGCACGATGATGCTCGGGTGGCTCCAGAACCAGACCCATTGGAGGAAATCCAACGGCTCGGATCACTTCCTCACCCTAGGGCGAATCACGTGGGATTTCCGCCGTTTAGGGGACCCGGAGGGGAAATGGGGATCGGCACTCCTCAACCAGCCGGAGATGGAGAAGGTCACGCGCTTCACCATCGAGAGGGCCGCGTGGGACGACTACGACGTCGGCGTCCCGTACCCCACCGCATTCCACCCCAACACCGAGCAGCAGCTCCGGCAATGGCAGCGCCACGTCCTCTCCAGGGACCGCCCCCGCCTCTTCTCCTTCGTGGGCGCCTCCCGCCCCAACGTCGACGGAGACTTCCGGACCCACCTGATCCGCTACTGCCAGAACCACTCCGATTTGAGCGTGGTGGTCGACTGCTCCATGGCGGAGTGCGCCACCCGCCCCTCCGTCGTCGAGGGCGCCTTCCTCAGCTCAGACTTCTGCCTGCAGCCGAGAGGCGACAGCAGTTCGAGGCGATCGGTGTTCGACTGCATGATTGCCGGATCGGTGCGGGTGTTTTTCTGGGAAAGCACGGCCTACGGGCAGTACCGGCTGTTCCTGCCGGAAGATCCGGAGAGCTACTCGGTTTTCATAGATTACGAGAAAGTGAGGAGCGGGTCGGCGTCCATTAGAGGGATCTTGGAGAAATACAGCAAGGAGAAGATCCGGAAAATGCGGGAGAAACTGGTGGAGACCATCCCGAGATTGATCTATGCCAGGAAGGGTTTGGGTAGTAATGTTAAGGACGCGTTTGATGTCGCAGTTGAAGCAGCTATGGAAAGAATTAAACTAGACAAAGAAATTAATGAGTTAGTAGATGAGATTTTATCGACACGATGAAGAAGAAGACGAAGAAGATGATGATGATGATGAATTTTCTTGATTGAGGCTTCCTTTGGTTTGTTACCCCTCATTCATTCACCTACAAACGATTCGATTCCTCTCTTTCAATTTCGTTTGCTTACTTTTACCATGTATTTCATAAAAATATACTCCCTCCCTCCGTCTAAAAAAGATTTACACCTTTCAAAAAAATTGTGTCTCACAATCTCCTACCATTTTTATTAAAAAACCACTTTTACCCCTTATTTTTTCAAACCCTACCTATCACATTATACCTTTTTTCTAATAATCTACACATTACATCATACTTTTACCCATCACATCAAGGGTATTTTTGGAAAGTCAACACAAAATTATCCTTGCCTTAATTTCAACTTTAGTCAAAACGTGTAAATCTTTTTAGGACGGAGGTAGTATATTCTTCTGATATATTGTTTTTTAAAATTTTTCATATACTCCCTCCGTCTTAAAACCACCTTCCCGGTTTGACCGGAGGTGGTTTTTAAGAGAGTGTAAAAATTGAGTTGATCTTCCTAAAATGCCCCTCAAAACCTTCTTTCTCCCTCTCGACACTGGACCGAAACATGCCTAATCTGAACCAAAAACACTGGCGATGTTGTCTTCTTTCAATACACACAGAGGCATGATGCTAAAACAAAATCAAAAATCAAAATTGCAGCTAAACACATTTAAATAAAATAAATTATGAAATTGGTCCAAGCAACGAGATGAAGGCGGGGATCTGCTCCCTCTTCACCGGATCTGAAACGGAGTGGCGACGACGACGGCGACGGTGGAGTGGCGACGGTGGCTTCAATCTCTCTGTGCGCGGCGAGGTATGATCGGCGATGGTGGCAGTCTCTCTGGCTGCAATCTCTCTGTGCGCAACGAGATGAAGGCAGATTTGGGGGATCTGCTCTCTCTTCACCGTTTTCTTAGATCTGGATATTAAGATAGAGAGAGAAGAAGAAGATTAGATATAGATTTTGAGGGGGGGGAGAGACGGAGGAGAGAAGCGGCTGAGAGTGAAGAGAGATGAGAGTAATGATTGACAGATCCAGTAGGTTGAGAGAGTTGAGGGAGGGATAAAATAGTCAATTCATACACTTTTTTAAGAAGTTGGAAGGTAGTTTTAGGACGGAGAAAAAAGGGAAGTGGGAAGATGGTTTTAGGACGGAGGGAGTAATTTTTACCTTATAAATATAATTTTAAAATTTAATATCTATAACCAAATATATTGAATTAAAAACAAATTTGGCATAACCTTGTAATGCATAATGGAAAGATCTTCATGATTATTTACAATGAACAATCAAAAATCAAGGTAATAACTTAAACTCAACTGCTTCGATAACAACTGAAATATCTCAGAGTGCAACGGGAATTACAAATTAAAAAAATTTAATAGAAAAAATATTAGTGATCACATGGTGGCAATGGGGTAGGTATGTTTTTTAAGCTAGTATCGTCCGCCTCCCGCACTGGCAATGTAGATGATCTTCTCTCAAGATAAAACCGCTAACGCGTAATGTCTAGAGCAGTAGCACAATGCACCAACGAACGTGAACGAGGAGGAGTTACTCACCGGAACCAAAAATTGTCGAAAGTTACATTGGCCAAGTGACTAACTAATACTTCAGTAGTGAAAGAAGCCGAACGGTTTCAATTCAAGAGCCATTTTGTTTTATTTCATTGTATGCCAAAGCCAAAAAGTAGTGAATATGGAAAATTTCAATTGACTAGTATACTAAGCCAAGAACAGCATCAGAGTACTATAGATAGACAACTGTTTTCAAAAGAGATAAAAAAACATGCTACCGTTTGTTTATATTTTGTTGACTAGAGAATAGTTATCCGAATAGTAAGGTGACAACTAGTTTTAAAGTTTTGATATATGGTAATCTATCAATAGTAGTTTAGTTTGTGTCTTATCAGAATACAATTTGTATTACCACAATTGTCTATATTAAATTAAGATTACTCCTTTACACAATAGTCTGACCTAGTATCTTAGACTTTTGCTTAATGAAAAAAGTACCGATGACTTTCATACAAACTATTATTTTAGATACGATAGTGTAAATTAGGTTAAGTCTATTGTTTATAGTAAATTAACAACACTCTTTCTAAATAGTAGTCTGACATGATATTTTAGATTTCTGTTCATAAAAAATGTTAGGTGAGACTATAATACAGACAACCGTTTTCGATATAGTAGTATAAACCAATTTCAAACAACTATGTTTAAGAGTTGTTTGACAAGATATGTTAGACTTCTATTTATTAAAAAAACCACTTTTTTCGTTTTTAGATGCAATAGTGTAACCCAAGTTCAAACAACTATTTTTAATTGTAGTTTGACTAGTATGTTAGACTTCTATTTGTGAACAAACAATTGTCTTGCAATCATACCGATTTGCAATTTACTAGATTTAACCCGTGCGATGCACGGTAAAAGTATATAATTAAATAATGTTTCATATAATTACAATTATTTCTAATAAGACTCGCCACACATAATTTTCCCGTGTAACTATTCTATTTGACAAAAATTATATTAAATGAAACAACTATGTACTTTGTAGTATATCATGTCATTTCCTAAGGAGTGAAAACATGAAAGTTGGCAACCTAAAATGGCACCAAGATAGAATAAGAAACTGCAATTGTCCAAGAGACCCTTACTAACTCTTACTCTAATGATTTTCAATTGAATAACAAATCTATATTACCCTTACAATTGAATAACCCTTACTAACTCTTACCCTTACAATTGAATAACAAATCTATATTATTTTTTCCCAACAGACATCACAAAGCCAAGTTAACTGCCAAATAGAGTGCCAAAAAATATCACCAATGCCAATATATGATGCCACAAATGTCCATATGTAATGTCATATATGGTAATTTATAGTGTCAGACAAAGGAAAATTGGACATGAATCATATAATTGTAGTTTGAAAGCTTTATTAAATTGTTATAAACATCAATTATCAGAAAATAAAAAACAAGTCATTTTTTAGGGGGACAAAAATATATCTTTGATTTTCTAAGATTATAGCCAAAATATACACAAACGATATATACAACACTCAACAAATCCAAGTAAAGATCTAATAAAAAAATCATTCAATCTAAACACAAGTGTGAAGTAATCTGCAAAATAAATCCAAAGATATATGCAAATGGAAAAGGCAGGGCAACGTGGGGGAGGGAGCGATGGCGGAAAGGGGCAACGACGATGACACGGAGGGTTGCCAATGACCTAAAAATTATACGGAGTAATTAAACAATTTCACTTTTTAACGTTTTTCAAAAACACTTTTTATCGGAAATAATCTCAATTTTTTGTATGTATGCGAGTTTTAGGTCGTCGACTCGTCAATAGAAAACTCACGGTCACTTAACAGAATTTTTGAAAGGTGGAATTTTTTTAAGACAAATTTACTTTTTTTCCTTTTCTAATTTTAGATTTAAAAAAAAATAAAAATAATATACTCTTGTTAGAGATTTATCTCAGTTTATTTAAAAATTATGTTTTCTGTTCTAGTGTAAAGTTAATATTGGATTATCGAAAAATAATTTAGAGTATTTCTCGAGAAAGAAATCACAATATAAAAATAATTGTAGTAAGTTATAAGATTAATTAGTGCCGTTTTGGAGAAAACAGATTGTGACATTTTCACGATTATTAAATTATTATTTTGGGAAAAACATTTGTACTGTGCTATCGAAAAATATCACAAGTAAGGTAGTTCCATTTTAGAAAAAATAATATTGTAGCCAACAGAAGATTATTAATAAACATTTCAGAGTGTTGTTCATGAAAAAAATTACAATACGACAAAAAATGTAGTGAGTTATAGAAATAAAAGTTACATCTTGAAGTAAAAATTATTGTGATATTTTTACAATTGTTATAATGATGTTTTGCAAAAAAACATTTATATAAAATTATCAAAAAATATTCACAAGTTTTGCAGTGCCATTTATTAAAATATATAATATTATAGTATCAAAAACAATTTGAAGTGTCGCTCAATAAAAATAGTTGCAACTTACAAGAAATATAGTGAGTTAGAAGTAAAATAAATTAGCTTCGTAGGGAAATAAAATTATTGTTCAATCATTACGAAACTATCGATTATTGAAAAAAATAATTAGTTTCACTCTAAAAAACCCTTAAATTTGGGATAGTCAACATAATTTTTACAATTCCTTAAAAATCACTTCCGATCAAAGCGGGAAACTAATTATAGGCTGGAGGAAAAATAATACTCCGTAATAGAAAAGGTAACATGTGAAACTTTAATAATAATAATATAGTAATAATATGATATCGTGTTATAATAATAATAATCATAAGAATAATAATAATAATAATAATAAACGTAATAATTATTATTGGTGTCGTGTATAATAAAAAAAGGTAACATATGAAACTTTAATTATTAATTATTAATTATGTATTATCAATAAGGTAATTTCATACCTTAAAATTTTTAATACCGTGTAATAAAAAGGTAAGATATGAAACTTTAGTTATGAATTATTAATAAGGTAATTTCATATTTTAAATGTTTTGGTGCTGTGTAATAAAAAAGGTAACATATGAAATTTTAATTATTAATTATTACTTATTGAGTGCTAAAACTCAATAATAATGTGGTAATAATATGGTACCGCCCATTGACATAGTTTATGGATTCGAGAGCATGACTTTTTTTGGGACAAAGAGAGTAAATCCATTTCCCACATCACAATGGCCGGGTAAGTACAAGATGGATACCATTCTAATTACAATTTAGAAGAGGAGGTCCCAACCTGAAAAAGTAAGGAGGGCTTGACAAACAAAGGCTAACTTATTATCATCACCAATTTTAATGCTTACCTTTGTTCTATCATGTCTGCTGCATCATACTGCAAGATGGAGCACCAAAGGGAGTTAATAAAAATAATAACGGAACTTCTAGCCAAGCATTTTAAAAAAAACGAAGACGTCGCACATGAAATCCAAAAATCAAACCGGCGCCAAAGATGGAGTACACTGGCAAACATCGTAGGAAAAACGAAGACGTCGCACATGTTTGCGCGAAAACCAAATCGAAGAGAATCAAACCAATTTTATTGGCAAATAAGAGAACAAAATCGGCATACTTGTCCCCTCTAGCCAAAAACATGGAAGGTGTAAAAGGACGCACGACTTTGCGCATTGAATCAAACACTTCCCCATTCTTCGGATTGACCATTTCTTGGTGGAACTATCGAATTCGCAAATTCGATAATCGCAACACCCAGCACAACATCATCGAGGTATGGGGTTGCAGACGAAGCAAAGAGATTGCAGATCCAGCACGGATTCAATCTTCTGCGAAAATAGACAGAGCAAAAGCCCGTTACAAGACTCAATACGAGTGCAGCTGTAGTCAAAATCTGCAATAATGTTTCTCATGAAGGACAAAGATGGAACGCTGGTCGGAGGGTTGCCAAATATCTGAACGGGCACTGTTTTGAAGGGTCGGGAACTTCGGTAGGGGTCGTAGAGTATTGCGCCGGCGGGAAGCCGGAGACCGGAGTTTTGGGTGTGTCTGGCGGCGAAAAGGGGATCTGAGATGATACGATTCCATTGAGTGGATACGGATTTCAATCTAATCAGATCTCTGGCCGGCAAGCGGATAAGAATCTCCGGCAGAAGATCCCCGCTGCAACCTATGGCCGACGCTGCTGTAGAAAGTTCCTCAGATCTGAGAGTCTTCATCGCTGCAAACCTCTTGGCCGGATTTCTTTCAATCGATATTCTCAGCAATCTTTAGGTCTTCTCAATCTTCCCCAATCGACAAAAAAATAGACTAATTCCTCTCTTACCTGTAGAATACTTCTTACATATCAAATATTACATATTTAGTTCTTACATATCAAATATTATTCCGTACTAATTTAGTCCTCAATTATCATATCATTTTTCACAAATGGTCCTTTGTAGACTCGATCACGGGCCCGGATATCCGCCCCGCCTGCAAAATAGCGGGCTTGGGCTTGACATTTTAGGGTACGGGCTGCGCTTGGGCCTTATAAACGGCGGCCTGAACATTTTAGGGCCGGGCTCAGGTTTATGCTCAAGCCCACGAGCCGGCCCGGCCCGAATAAATTAAAATATTTATTATTATTATAATTATAATAAAATAACAATAACAACATTAATAATAATAAAGAACAAACATATTTCAAATTATTATAAACACACATACATACTTCTATGGAAAGAAAAAATAAACTATAAGTTTATATAATAAAATGAATACATCTTTACTAATCCGTATTGTTTGCAACGTATCACACATTGATTATGACATTCCAATAGATAATATTTGTACTTCATACATAGTAGCAATATCAAACAAAATATATTTATATATTAATTTTTCTTTCATTACTCATAATAGTTTTTATATGAAATATCTAAAATATTAACTTTTTACTTTTTTTTAAAAAAAAATAATTTTTAAATTATTTAAAAGTTTTTTTTGGTCGGGCCGGGCCGGGCCGGCCCGAAGCCCGCAGGTAACCATGCGGGCCGGGCTCAGGCTTCAATTGTTAGGCCCGTTATACGGGCCGGGCCGGGCTCGGGCCTAGAAAATTATAGTAAAGTAGTGTCTCTGCCCGTGCAAAAGCTAACTCTATCATGTACACTCAGTTCACATAAAATTAAAATTTAATGAGATAATTGTCCGGCTTTTGAGTTTCTACATTTGTTCAAGCAAGCATCATAAAATTGATAAGAAAAGGACCAACTAGATTTCAAATCCAAATTTCCAGTATAAAAGAATCTTTCTTGGTAAGAAAAGGAGCTATTGTAGTAGGGATGTCTAAATTGATACATATATATAAGGTATGACTAATAGAACTTCAACCACACAAAAATAAAACGAGACACGGACTAATTAAACATTTCCCATGCATTCTTGATGAAAGAAGCTAGTGCTTTGTGTTTACCACGCAGTAAATGACTGATATGACTCCCATTACTCATATACTTGAAATCCGACAATCAGACGGGTGCTAAAGATGGAATATAGTGACAAGCTTCGTAGGAATAGGCCCGGTGAAATTTAATTTCTCGGACACATCTGTGCGACCCCAAATCAAAGGTGATCAAACTCTTTTCAGATGCCAATAAGAGAAAAAAATCTTCTAAGTTGTCTTCTCTAGCCACAACCTTTGGGCATGCATAACAATGCACAACTTCACTCTCTAAACCAAGCCTTTCCACTCGTGGGTCCGACCAACTCATGGTGGTACTATCAAATTCAAATATTTCATACTCATGCCACTCCCCACTTTTGGACTGATATAAGATGAAGTACAAACGACCGCAAGTTGTCACAAGAAGAGAATCCCTAGGAGGGAATCCAATTCGAACTACCCGCAACCACAAAATTCCAACTTTCCCGGAATAAACATTGTAATAGTGCATTTTGTAACTCCCAATCCAATAAACTGTGTCGTTCAAGAAAGCACCAGAGCGACTTTTATTGGCCTTGAATTCTTCCAAGAAGCAGCCGAATTTCCAACAATTTGTTTCGGATGAATAAATATGGAGTTCCTGTGGCATTTCGTTCTGCTTGTATAGATGTTTCTTAATGCCAATAACTTTATAGCGAAGTGGTTCCAAGGGATTGAACGCTAACGTTGTTAACCCATCGAACCACTCGCCTTCCCCCAAATATGGAGGTAGGGGCAAGAGCTTGAAAGCCCTTGTCGTGGGGTTGCAGACGAAGCACCTAGATAGCATGTGGAGCATGGGCCAATATGTGTGGGAAAATACGCAGAGCAAAAGTCCGTTACAAGACTGAATTTGAGTGAAGCGGCAGTGAAAGTTTGCCAAGGTTTTGGTCATGAAGGACAGAGACGGAACCCTGGGAGGGGGGGGGTTTTGAAATAGAGGAACGGATACTGTTTCGAAGGGTTCGGAATTGGAAAAGTGGGGGTAGAGAATTACGCCGGTGGGAGGCCGGAAAGCCGAAATTTGGAGGTGTCTGGCGACGAAACGCGGATCTGAGATGATGCGCCTCCATTGTGTGGATACTGATTTCAACCTCACCAGATCGCTGGCCGGCAAGCGGATTAGAATCTCCCACAGAAGATCGTCGCTGCAACCAACGGACGACGCGGTGGCAGAGAGTTCCCCGGCCTTCATTATAACCTAGCTCCGGCCAAGTATTTTCTTCTCTCTTGCACCGTACAATCGTTGGGTGAGTCTGATGATGGGATCAACAGCCGTTTTATAGAAGAGGAGATGAGTAAATTTAAATTTGAGTATTCCCAATTTAGTCCTTTTTAAAGAGTAATGAACAATATAGTCCTTTATAATTAGGAGTATTCCTCAAGAAAGTCCTTTTTTAACTGCCGTTAAGTTTTCATTAAATAATTGGATGATTTCATTATTTTTGTATACGTGTCATCAATTGGTCTCTTCCTTTGTCAATCTAGCCACCTTAATTAAAATTACCTCCATTCATTTTCATTTTCTCATTTTCCCTATTTTATGCACGAAGCAAATCTAATCTTCTTTACTGCCTAATTAATAACTTTCTTACAAAAATAAGTTGGCATCTTCTTGTGCCTAATAACATTGAAGTTGTAAATAATCAAAAACCAAAAACATATGCTGGCATCTCTTGTGCCTAATAGCATTGCAGTTGTAAAAAAAAGCAAAACCCAAAAAAGTATATCTTGGCATCTGTGCCTATTGACATTCAGATTGCAAAGAAGCAAACAACCAAAAAATGCATTTATCTTCAGCATCTCCCCACTCGCTTCATGCACTACGTGGATGGCATGTCGTGCTCTTTTCTTCCTGCAATGTCGCATCTCTTTGAGAGTACATGTCTGCCATTTTACTTGCATCTTCCCAGAATTCAAAATCTGTGTCACAGGCATTTTGGACAAGAGCTAAAGTTGGAACACTTTGGTTAACATTTAATGAAGCTTCTTCCACACAAACTACACTTTGAAGTGCCCCTTTTCTTTTGCGAAGTTGTTTCTTTTTCTTTTCTTTTGCTTGAGTCTATAAATACATTCACAATAAAACAAGGAAAAGAAGTTTCATGTTAAAACAAGCAGTATATAGAAAAAGCACCAACCATAACCAAAAAAAGTTTTTAGCGCCAACTTTAACTAAAAGAACTTTGATATAAATACACACACCTGTCTAGCCTTGGCTTGCTGATCTTCTGGACATGTTTTCTTGTTGTGTCCAACCACCTTGCACTTCGTACACCTTTTTTTCACTAACTTCGTATTCAACGTTTTACCATCCTTTGTTAGTTCATGGACACTCTTCTTTCTTGTTTTTTTTGGTCTTCCAACCTTTGCGGCTATGATAGGGGGGAATAATGGTTCTCTAATGTCGTCATCCCATTCACTTCTGCCCCTCAAAGGTTTGATGCACCCATTGTATATCTTCTTGTATGTGTCAAGAGAATAATACTCGTCCACAAAATCATTGACATCTCTCCTGCTACGGTCTTTTTGGAGCCAAATGGCACACACACCATGTTTACATGGTATTCCCGTTAATTGCCAACTGTTACACGTGCATGTTCGTTCAAATAAATCTACAACATGGCCTTCAAATTTTTCTCCTCTATAACCCCTGACCTCAAATAAGTGTTTCGCGCTTTGTATAGCGTTATACCCCCTACCAATTTGGAATTAACGGCTAGCTTTGTCAATATTGTTGGACATAACCCACCCTTCCAATTTTCAGCATTTTCTCTCAACACAAAAAGCCTTTGCATAATCATTTCCCTGATTTTTTCCAAAGACTGAATAAGGCTTAGAGATCTAGCCTCTTTAAGCACTCTATTGTATGACTCACAAATGTTGTTGGTTAGTATATCACACCTTGGGATAATATGAAAATGCGACCTAGACCATTCCGATGGGTGTTTGTCTTGCAACCACGAGTAAGCATCCCCATCGGCCTCCTTTAACTTCTTCATAGCTTCTAAGAATGTAGCATATGTGGTCGCTTTTGCTGCCTCCCACAAAAAATCTTTCATGGCCTTTCCAGAGAACCCCGCAGCTTTGAAATTGCCCTCAAGATGCCTTACGCAAAACCTATGTTGAGCCCTAGGAAGCACGCCATCAAAGCTTGGGAGCAAACCCTTTTGCTTGTCTGTTCAAAATAAAGTTTACAAACACATGTATTAAAACGTTGGTGAGAATAGTTAACACAAGTCCAGTACTCCTTAAATAACATAAAAGTTACCTGTCATGAATGTGAAAGAGGCTTCTTTAGCTTCGGTAAGATCTAGATCCATGCTAAGCAGCTCTAAGAACCAAGTCCAAGACTCCTTATTCTCACTTTCAACAATAGCGTAAGCAAAAGGAAATATGTTTTCATTTCCATCAATCCCATTGGCCACTAATAAAACCCCCCCATACTTGCCAGTCAAATGACACCCATCAAGGCCTATGATTTGTCTACATGCCTTAAAACCTTCCCTACATGCTGCCCAACATATATATATTCTTTGAAACCTTTGTATACTCCCATCTTCTTGACACTCAACTCTGCATGAAGTCTTAGGATTACTCCTTAAAATTTCTTGGCAGTATTTCCACAAATCCCTATAATCCTCTTCAACACGACCATTCTCTTCGACATGAGCCTTTTTCAAAGCCTTCCATGCTTGTTTATAGGTCACGTGACACTTCTCTTCAGTTTGAACTCTATTCTGGAAGTCTTTAACTCTCCAATTCGGATGATACTTCATTTCCTTTTTCCATCTCTTGGCAATGACACTTGAGTTCATCATCTTGTTATAGTACTTCCAAGTGCACCCTTCATGGACATCATTGAAATATGTAACTCAGAAGTCAGAAGTGTCTGGTGCCTTGTGGCATCTTAACTTCCAGGGGCACTTTGTTTTGTTGTGGGCTTTACTTTTTTCTGAATCTGCCTTTACCTTTTTACTTGAGCTCTCATCACCATTCACACAACTAACATACACCCTCTTACTATCGTTCTTGTCATACCTCAAACGCTTCCCATTGTTGAAGGCATAGTTCCCTACTGCCTCTTTGAACATTTCTTTATTTGGAAAAACCAACCCAACAGAAAAAAGAGGATTTTTCATGTCCCTTTTGGGGTTGAATACCGGCAGATTAAGCTTTTCCATCAACTCTCCTTCAGACAAACTTTCATCGTCACTGCCAAGTACTTGTTGTTCCACCTGAGTGCTCACCTCCAGGGCATGTGAGACATGAGGCATGCTATCTTCTATCCCATGAAACTCCACTGTCATATCCACATTCGCATCAAACAACAAATCATCCTCATCGTAATCCAAATCTTCAAGGTCAACATCATCCTCTCCGTCGGTTCCAGTATCGTCTTCTGTGTATTCATCATCACCAATATCACCAGTATCATTGCCTCTATTAAATCCAGAATCACCATGTATCACCACCCAAAGTTCCAATTCACTTGGTAATTCGTCAACATGAAACAACTCCCACGCATCACTATCTGTTAGTAGCTCTTTTAAAGTAGTGCCACTTTGAACATATATGTAAATGTCTTCCCAGTTCTTAATGGGTATAAGAAGATGTATACTGAAATAGTAGTAGTACGGGGTGACAAGTATCTCCTACACACGATGAAAGTGTTTTGGTGGTTATATGGAACTACTTAGAGGTAGAAATGGATTGAAAGGTGGTTCGAACTTATAATCTTTTAATGTGCCTAATTTGCAATAATTAAACAAATACCAAACATTAGCAGTAAAAAAACCTCAAAGGATCACTTACCTATACTTCCAATTGGAACTTTGTAGAAAACCAAAAAAAATCAAAGGAATAGTAGCAATTCAATGAACCGTGTGCTCTTCAAAGGATTAGTACAATTTTTTCAATTAACTTTGTCATGAAAGAATCTAGATTCAAAGGAATGAACACTCAAAGGATTTTTAGAAATTTTTACTTCCGTCAACTTCAATGTATAACCCTAGGAAATATCCACAAAGAATAAATGTCCCAAAATGCAAAACTTACCATCAATTGAACACATGCTATTTCAGCAAGATCGGAAGCTTCCCTGAGTCGTGCGCCGGAGATTGGAAGTTCCCCTCGGTCTTCTGTTCCTCGTTAATCGGGCTTCGGTGATTGAATTTCCCGCAGCGCTGTCAAACTTATTTCTCTTCCTGGCCATTCATTTTTTTTGTCAATTAAGAGGTGTAATAAAAAACACAAGTAATAATCCACATATATATTAAGTATATAACCTCTCATTTGACGGTCTCATTTGACGGCAGTTAAAAAAAGGACTTCCTTGAGGATACTCCTAAATATAGAGGACTATATTGTTCATTACTCTTTAAAAAGGACTAAATTGGGAAAAACCCTTATTATAGAGGACTATTTTGGGAATTTACTCTTTAAATTTGGTAGTTCTTGTATTTTATTTATTCTTATTAAAATCAGATCAGATCAGATCAGAAATAATCATATCATATCAGATTCAATCATATCAAATCAGATTCAATCAATAATTATTATTATTATTATTATCATCATCATCATCATCATTATTATTATTATTAAAAATGAAAAAGAATAAACTTTAGAAACAAGTTAAATACAAAACTAAGAAAATAATCCTTAATTATTAAATGTCGGAAAAATTATTTTTTTAAAATACATTGACAATGTCAATCTAATTTTACTTTTAAAATTCATTTTTATTGCTACATGTAATTTGAGTTTCTAAAGTTTTGATCTTTTACTACATTGAGTTGATCAACTTTGATCATGACTTAAATAAAATTAACACACGTTGATATTTTATAAGGATGCAATATTTTAATAAAAATACTTTCTTTTTCTCTATATTGATTATCTAAATCTAATTACTTTTTAATGTATATATGAATTAAATATTTATTCTACTATATATATAAACTAGTTATTAAAATATTAAATCAATATTCTTATTTCATACAAAAATAATCATAAAATAAAAAATGTTATTACATTATAATATGAATGATTACTCTAATACTCCCTCCGTCCTATAATGATCTTCCCGGTTCGCAAAACGAAGAAAAATTCCAAGTTTTTTCAATCTATTTTATTTTAGTATTAGTATAGAAATAAAAAATAAAACATACATATTTAAAAACTACACCAAAAGTTCAACAAAACAAGTGGTGACAAGAATATTTTATTTTATCATATAGGCCATGAAAAAACACAAATAAATATAAATTCCCGTGAAGTTGGAATAATGCTCTGGGAAGATCATTATAGGACGGAGGGAGTATATGAATTAACTAATTTTATTTCATTAAAAAATAATCATAAAATAAAAAGTATTGATTACTCCGTCCGTCCCAAATTATTTGCAACATTTGCTTTTTCAGCAGTCGCGAGAACTTTTGTTTATTTCTACGTTTTCATTAATTAGTTATTTGATAAAATAAAATATTCTTGACACCTCTTATTTCAAAAACTTTTCATGTAGTTTTTTGATATATAAATTTTATTTTTTATTTCTATACCAATATGTAAATAAAATGAATTGAAAAAACTTAATATTTTACATCGGGAATACAAATGTGGCAAATATTTAGGGACGGAGGAAGTATATTATAAACTATTTAATTTTCTTTATTGAAGTTCACAAATGATATGTTTGTGAAGTTTGTGAAGTTTGAGTTTGTGAACCAAGCATTTCCCTATGAATTATCACTACAATTTTCAAACGTTATTATAAAGTCCAAATTAAATTATTGATTTAAATTTTAAATCAAATCATAATTAATCAAATTAGATCGGATCAGATCAATCAAATCAGATCATATTTGATCAGATCCAATCAGATCAGATTTAATCAGATCAGATCCAATCATATCAGATCAGAACTACAAAAAATTAGATCAAATCAGAAAAAACAAGTTGAACGGAACAAAGTCTTATTCTCTTTCTAGTGCGATTAAGATTTTAGGGACTCTCAAACACGAGATTATATATTAGAACGAAGAGAGTACAATTTGGGATGGTGGGCATACGAGCAGGTCGGAGCCGAACAACATGGTTTGGAGTGAATTAGGGTCAGGTCTAAAGTTTTGAGTATTAAAAAACAAACCGGGTTGGGATGAGTCCTTGGAAAAAGTCGGATCAATTCTTAATATTTAGAAACAAAGAGACTCGGATGGACTCATTTCATATAATTTAATAAATTATAAATATAAATTATTAAATAAATTAAAATATTCTCAAGTTGCATTTTAGTCTTTTTCATCTAATTGCATTAATGAATAAGTTCTTATTCTAGTAATACAATTATATATGTAAAATAATTAGTAATATTTTAGTTGTCAATCACATTTTTTATTATACATCTAACAACTTCAATTGGCAAAATTCTTTTATTAGTTAAACATTATAATTTTTTATTTATTTTGTGAAAATCATGGATTAGTTTAAAAATATATTATTCTAGTGACTACACTTGTTGGGAAATATTGATTAAATATTCAAAAAGAAAGAAAAGAAAAATAAAAAAAAGTTCATGACAAAGGGAAAGCTGAAGGTACTCCATGAGTGGAGTTAATTGTCAAAAAGGTGGAAGTATGCACGTGAATGGGTTCTCTCTTGTAGCAAATTAATTGGGGTAAATAATTGTGCTTCTCTTTGCCCTTTAAAATGGAAAAGCTACGGAGTATTTATGGGTGTGTGGTTTTCAACACACCAAGGTAGAGAGAGAAACAAAGAAGAGGATTGTACACAAGAATACCGCCAGAAAAATCCAAGGGGTCTTGGTGAGTGCGGGTGAGTGTAGGGAGTAGCTGATATCTAGTTACTTGGAAAAATACATCCGGACATAGAATGTGGAAAGATCTGTTTATGAGTGTTTGGAATTTAGCCTTGTAAACATAAAGATAGTTTTTGTATATTGTCCTGAAATAGTGGAAATATAATTTTTTCTCTCATATATTCTTCTCGTGTTTGTTCTCTTATGTGAAGTATGGTACGCGAAAAGAATTAGAGGAGACCCGTGGTCTAGCGGAGTGGAGATCTGTGATTTATGCTTTGTGTCAAAAGTCTTCTTGGCAAGAGGAGGTCGGGCGGCGTGTCCCACAGGTGTTCTTGCGGCGGTACAAGGCGAATAAATCAAAACAAATTAATTGCTAGAGGAGCGGTCTCGAAGTCGTTGGTCTTAGTGTGAAAGAACGGTGGGTTGTCATTTTTTTAGCTCGGGATGGATGATTAAAACTCTAAGGAGCTTAGGTAGTGGCTGTGATTTTGACAGGGTTTGTTGAGATGGAGTAATGGGTAAAACGGCAACTAGAAGTGGCAATGACCTTATAGTATTGAACAAGGTGGAGCCATGAAAAACACAAAGGGTGGTGGGAATCTTGCTCTTTTGAGCAAGATAGGGTCATGAAAAATTTTCAAGGTGGTAGTGAACCTGGTGGATGGACCAAGGTGGAGCCACGTTGATCTAGGTGGTAGTGATCTTGAGGTTGGTAGCGTTGATCTAGGTGGAGCAGACCGAGATGACGCCGAAGATATTTTTTTTCTTTTAGAGTAGTGGTGATCTCACTGGAGAAGTAAAGTGGAGCTACAATTTTTTTAATTATTTAATCAAGGTGGAGTTTGTTGGAAAATATTGATTAAATATTCAAAAAAAGAAAAGAAAAATAAAAAAAAGAAAAAAAAGGATCATGACAAAGGGAAATCTAAAAGTACTCTATGAGTGGAGTTAATTGTCAAAAAGGTGGAAGTATGCATGTGAATGAGTTCTCTCCTGTAGAAATTGATTGGGGTAAATAATTGTGCTTCTCTTTGCCATTTGAAGTCAAAATTTGACTTCAAAGTCAAAATCAACTTGTGGGTGAAATTGAAGAGAGTGTGGGAGTGTGTTCGGATCGGGGCTACCAAGATATTAGGAGAAGTAGGAACCATCAATTTTACGAACGGAATACCAGAGCGTTTCGGGTCATCCCAAGACATTGCTGGACAATGTCATGGGAACCTTAACCCTATAAAATTTGCCAAATTTCCAAAATTAAAAGAGACATGGAATCTCCAAACACAAATGTGGCGCATTCTCCTTCCTCCCCCAATTTTGAATCTAGGGTTTCCAATTTATTATTACGCGCTTCAACACCTTCTTCATCCCTCGCCAGACGTTTTCCTTTCGCTGCTTCGTCAAGTCCCCCTATTTTCTTCCGCTGAACCTAAAATGTATGCAAAGCATCCATCTTCTTCCGCGTGATTGCAGAACCTTAAACCTGACTCGCGGCAATGGCGTTTTCATTCACTCCTCAGCCGCAGCAGCAATCGTCGCTATTCCAAACTCCGTCTGCTCAACAGCAACCGTCGCCGTTTCCGCAGTTCAATGCCTTCTCGCAAACGCCGCAGACGCAATTCAACTTTCAACCCCAGCAGTCACAGCCGCAACAGCCTCAGCAGCAGCCGCAGCTGTTCTTGTTCACCAACAGTAAGACGCCTGCTACTTATGGAACCAAGTGGGCCGACCTCCATCCAGACTCGCAAAAATTCCTCCTAAAAATTGAGTACGTTTAATGGCCTCTGCATATACTGATATACATATCTCAAACCGAGCAATGCCAAAGATGTTTTATGGGATTTTGCTTGGTTTGTTGTACTCCTTAATCCCCCCTTCACTAAACTATATCATCTTTCTTTACATAGAATTTTCATTGATCATTTGATAAAACAATATAGACAATATAATCTCTTGTTTTCTATGCAAATATTAAAATAAATTAGTTTGAAAATACGGTCAAACATCAAAATTCAAAAAGGTAAGATTAAATAGACAGAAGGAGTTATTTTTTTGTAATTTTGTGGCAGAGAGAAAGTACTTGAATACAGAGATGAAAGTCAACGCCTTGATCAATGCAGCCGGTTGTATGATTCTTCAGTGTCAAATGATGGGTTTGAGCTAGATGCTAGTCATAGTATTCAGGTTTGCTATCCCTTGCTACCTTGCATAGAGGCATTCATGATAATTATGTACTCCCTCCGTTCTCAAAAACTCTTCCTCTTTCATTTTTTTACTTCCAACAAAACACTTCCACTTTCTATTAAAAAACCACTTTTACCCTTACTTTTTCATACCCTACCTATCACATCATACTTTTTCTCTAATACTCAATCCATCACATCAAGGGCAAAATTGGAAGTCAACTACAATTTAACACTTCCTTTTTTTACACAAAGTCAAAATAGGAACACTTTTATAGAACGGAGGGAGTAGTAAATAATTGTATTCTTTACACTCTTTAATACTCCATAAAGTTGTTGCTCCAAGACCTATTGGTTCAATTGTTCCGTGAAAACCAATTGTACATGGTAACTTTACAATTTTACTTCTGTGATGGAATGTGACTAAAACAACTATCTTAATCGATCATGCTCGCATTATACTTGCAACACAAGCAGGCAAAAAATCAAAGTTAATGTTTGTTTTGGAATTGTGAGATTCTACTAGGTTTGTTAGTTTGTTTGTTTAATGTTTGCTTTGGATTTCCATCTCATTATCTCTTGTAAAAAGTGTGCAACTTGAAGAATTGAAGGGCATCTTTATCAACGCTTTTCTACTATGTTTTTTTGCATGATTTTGAATCTTAGATGATTATTGATGATCAATAAGCACTATACATTTATCATGCCATTGAAGTTATCCCAAGGAGTAGCAATAGAAAAGTACATTGCAACATGCTTTGGCTTGTACTGCTAGATGCAGAGTTCCACACTGCAAAAAAGTTTTTGTATACTATCTACAATTTGTTAGACCCCAAGAGTTTAGTTTCATAATCCAAAGGGACAACAATATAACTCAAAGTTATAATTTTTTGCGCTTATTAGAGCTGGATTTGTCACATGTATGATAATATATACATTGAATTCTTTTGTTTTTTAGGAACTTGGTGGAATCAGCACATCAATGGAACGACAAAAAACTATTCTTCAAGAGCTAATGTATGTTGTTAAAGATATGCTGCGCAATACAGAGGTAGCGGTTCGCTCTTTCATGATGTTACGCCCAAGGTTTCTCCATCAAAATGCACCTGCTGCAGGTTCAGCAACAGCATCACAGATCTCTGGCACCATAGTACCTGCAACCTCAAGTGCTCAAGCAACAACTATTCCCACCTTTCCTGTTTTTGATTTCTACAGTGGGATTCCAAAGAAGCCTTCCCCATTCCTGCAGCAAACTGTAGCTAGATTTGAGAAACATCTTGCTGAATGCCGACAGTGGGTTGAAGAACTGGAGCAGTTGATCTTGTCGGGTTCTGATAGAAATTCTCTCAATACCAACGCGTCACTGCTGCAGTCACTTCCACAAGTCATGTCAAATGTGCATGACTTTTTTGTTCATGTTGCAGCAAAGGTAAGGGAAACAAAATTGCTTTGGAATTTTAGATTTTTTCTTTAAAATATGGTTCTCACGCGTGTTTGAGTGAAGAAAATGACCGAATTTACTCGATTGTTTTTCTGTTTCACACCTTCACGTTTCTCTGTACATTGTTGGAGACCGGAAGATCTTAAATAGTGAATCTAATTTGCTTCTTCTTTATTCAAGGCCAAAACCCCATTATGATAAGAATTGGGGGGGGGGAACTATATATATTGGGTTAGCTTCACGAGGCATCTTCAGAGGCTATAACAGTTGCGATTTTGTGATCCAATTTCACAGACTTTTTTTGTACAACTTGAAACCCTTAGTTTTTGCTTTGATCAACCAACTTCCTGGAGTGCACTGGGTGAACTATCTCTGTCTGAATATGGATGGCATATTGCATATTCACAGGATCATTGCCTCAATTGCAACGGAGGTGAAGTGCACTAGGCTATGATTTTTCACTTTTAGAGTATGAGTTTGGATGCTATTTTTTAATTAGCAAGGTATACTTTGGATATAGGAATTAATGAGAGGATGAGGTTATTGATTGATTGAATAGTTGTGTCAAAATATATAAAGAATATAAATTTCACCTCTTCATATCCCCGGGTATGTGAAGGATCTTGAATTGTCGTTCTAGTGGTGAATGATTATTTAAATCTTCCTATATATACAAAAAATGATAAATGTTTTAACTTTGAGTACTAAATCAAAATGTCACATTAAACTTCCCTTGCTTCTTAATTTCTATGGGATATCAAGTTTTGCACAGACGGCGCAGTAAATGGAGCAATGCATCAAGGACTGACAAACAATGTCCCTGTTTTAAACAGGGATTTGTTTGTGTACATCTTGACCCCCAAACCCCATATATGGTGGATAATAGGTTTTGAGGTTTATTATTTGTGTTTATCTATTCAACAGTTTTAAAATGATAGGGGCTCAAGTGGTAAAACTGAAATCGAGAGAATTGGATCAGACAACAATAGTTGGAAAGAGTCTTATGGAATCAACTTTTTAATTTATTGCAAATAGCATTTATCGCATTGTCTTTTCGGGTTCTTTAGTCATCAGTGTGTTAAACTTTGCTTCTATTCATTGTAATTGATCATACATGTCAGCCTTCATTTTTCTTTTAGGTGGAGAGCATTCATCAATACATTGAATCTATGAAATCGGCATACCTTACCGATCAACGTCGACGAGGGGATGTTGGTGATCCATTTCTTGAAGCTGACCGACGGGAAACCGCCAAGCAAGAGGCTGCTGCACGAAGGGTTCATCCAACTCTGCATTTGCCTGTGATACCAAAACCACCAACTCAAGTTACTGGACTGCTGTCCAGCTCAGCCACTCCTGGAACATCTACTGCACCACAAACATCTGCTGGCATTGCAAGCAGCTCAGCTGCAAGTGGCTCCTCACTTTTTAGTACCCCTGCAATTGCCACATCATCATCTTCTATGTTTTCTACACCCATTGCCTCTACTCCAGCAAACACATTATTTGGGCCTGGCGCTTCCCCACAGACATCATTATTTGCCCCCTCCTCCACTTCAACACCAGCATTTTCTAATACACTGTTTGGGACAACCCCTTCTTCTGCAGCTACAAATTTTTCAACCCCATTTTTGTCAGGTAATCTATAAAATGAGCTGGATTATGATGTTTTTCAGTTCATTAGTAAGATGATGTTCATGGTCTAGGGCTAAACATGCTAATGTTTATTAGAATTAATATGATTAATATGACTAATAGTTTGCCAAGACTTTCATGCTGGGAAAACCACCGGTAGAAGTTATTATAATGAACCAAAGTATCCCTTCTTTCAACCTAACACGTTTAGGTTGAACTACAACATCAACATTTATGAACTAGACCACTAGACTCTCCACAGGATTTCTTTCTCTTATATACATTCTATATGCCAGTTGCATGACACTAGTTGATAGAGCTGTATGTAGTGTGTTAAGAACTTGACATCAGCAATGCCCAGAATTCAGCTGTTGTAACCATCCTGCTAGATAGGATTTTCTGGATTTTATTTTTCATATAGCCCTCTCTTATTATATTTTGTCTTGCAGGAGCTGCAACGGGATCAGGATCAAGCTTTGGAACATTATCTGTAAGTGAGCCTACACTTCTTTTAGCTTGTTTTAACTTGATACTCCTTCCTTCCCATAAAAAAGTTTCACATTTCTTTTTTCATCCGTACCAAAAGAGATTCAACTTTCCACTTTTGGAAACAAATTTTTGTGGCCCTTATAATTTCTCTCTCATATGCATCACTTTCAACCACACAATTTTACGTTTCTTAATCTCCTTGCTCAGTCAAAGGTGGAACCTTTTTATATGAGACGAATGGAGTATTATTTGAAATTAATAGTTATAAAATCATGAACTAGTGTAAACTCATTGTCCTGGTAATTTATCTTTTACAATAAACCATGCATGATACATGCCACAAGAGTATCCCAGTTTCCATTCATTACTAAACTTTCTTCACTTTCTAGCATCTCGTTTTGATTTGCTTCTTAAAAACCTCTATTGCTCTCCATCTTGTTGCAGAAGGCAAGAGGTAAAAGTCGCACTGGAAGACGATAAAACAAAACATATCAAGTACAGATGAGATCAGAAATAATCCTCTTATTTGCTTTGATTGTGAGACATTTTGCTAGTAAATCAGTATAGTTCTTTGTCCAAGATCTCCTTCACTGTTCAATGCTGCACTTTTGACTGCAATCCAAATAATACTGATGCAGAACCATCGGCCAAGTTTGTTTTTTTAGGGGTAACAATGCATTTTATCATACGGAGTACATTTTTTCAGATGCTGTTGTAACAATGTAATTTTGTCGGATTCACGACTTCCCAACTTTAACTAGATTGGTCTAAGTAGGGAGCTAGAGGTTGAGTGGGTGTGTAAGTTTAGAAGTAACGAGTTTGAATATCATTGTTATGCATTTTTTTTTTGAAAAGAGAAAATTCCATAATTAGTCATTTTTCCTATTTAGTAAATATTACGGAGTACAATGGTGTTCTTTTATAGGTATCATTTCACAAATAGTCTATTTTTTATTTTTTGTCATGTTAGTATTAATTTGAGGTCCAGAGGTTGAGTGGGTGTGTAAGTTTAGATGTAACGAGTTTGAATATCATTATTATGCATTTTTTTAAAAAAGAGTAAATTCCATAATTGGTCTTTTTTCCAATTTAGTACGGAGTAAATATTAACATGGTATCCTTTTATAGGTATCATTCTACAAATATTTATTTTTTATTTTATGTCATGTCGGTATTAATTTGAGGGCTAGAAGTGTAATTTTACAATGATCATATATCATACTCCGTACTTGTCATACACAAATTCAAAGGCTTTTCTTGATGTGTCATTTGTGAATTGTAGTCGCTTTCTACTACAATAATAGTTTACAGATGTGATTTTTTGTTGAAATCTTAGTCCACAGTCATAGTCATTATTGCTGTGTTATTCATTTAACTGATATTAAAATGATGTTAATTTACATTTTTAGCTCTCAAATTAACACCGTAACAGAAGGTTAAAAAGATGACTATTTGTGAAAAAATATCCTTAAAAGGACTGCAAGAGCAATATTTAATAATAGAAGACTAAATATAGAAACTTCTCGTTATAAAAGAGCAATTATAGAATCTACAGTTTAAAAATCAGTATTCGTCTACAAGGCTCAAGGAAATACATCATGTTTGCACGTAAAAGACTTTTTAAGCAAAAAATTTTTCATTAATTTATGCCTGCAAACTTGAGTTTATGATGAGTGGACAGTTGGTCGTCTAAAGAAAAACGAACATTTTCAAACTTGCAAAATATTGAAATTATTGATGTGTATATACTTCACCGAGTCTCACAATTAAAGTTTGGGTTCAATTCTATATAGTTTAAAAATGGTTAAAAGGTGAATAATGCATGTTATAATTTCAATTATCTTTTGTTATGACCCCATTTCATTAATTTTATTAATTTTTGACTTATAATAAACCAAAAATTAAATAATATATTAATTAAATAAGATAATATTTTGGAAATATTTTATAAATGATTCTACTAAAATTATTTTTGTAGAAATAAGTAAAATATCACTTTGATTTAATTTTTGGACAAAGTTTATCATTTTAACTACAAAGATGAAAAATAGACAAACACATATATTACTCCATTCGCTTACATACTTCTTCTCTCACTATCCTTTTACATAGAAAAAAATTAGAGGTACACCATGTTTGCAGTTTGCACCCCAACTTGTACACTAAGTGTATCACACACACATAAAAGAATTATCCGTATTTGTTTGTGATACACTTGATGTGCAAGTTGGTGTGTACCAACTTAGTGTGCCTCTAACACACCTCTTATACATATTCATCTCTTTCTTTGGAAGAGCTCCAAGCTCCATTAAATGGCTTTCATGCCTATATGTTATGTACATTCACAAACACCATTATGTTGAGTAATAAAATTCAACTGAAAAAATATTCTCCCAAAAATAACGGTGCTACAAAAATAATATTCTCCCAATATGATTTTTATTTCAAAATCAAGTGTTCTATTTTGGTGTGAATTGATATACTTGACTCGGCCATTACCCCCTAGTTAATAATGGCGGCCTAAATAATTTACATCATTAGTGATGTACGTAATGCATGCATTGACAAAGTTGAAAACCGTATTGTTAGGTTGCATTTATTTAGGAATAAAACATTAGACATTTAACTAAGATTCATAGAAACTGAATTATAATCGAATCAACAACACGAAAAAAATAAATTTGGCTATTATTTCTTACAATAACAACAACAACAACAATAGTAATGATAATAATACAACAACAACAACAAAACTTTATCCACTAGGTAGGGTCGGTAAAACGATAATAATAAAAAAAATCATCCTAAATAAGAGTAATCATAGAGAAAATACCAAAATAGGAGTTTTATGTTTTTATTTTCTAACAACAACAACAAAAATAATAATAATAATAATAATAATAATAATAATAATAATAATAATAATAATAATAATAATAATAATAATAATAATAATAATAATAATAATATGAGTATTATTATAACAACAACAAAAATAATAATAATAACAATATAAAAATAATACACCCTCCGTCTAGAAATGTTCTTCTCATTTTCTTTTTTGGTCCGTCCAGAAATATTCTTTTCATTTCCTTTTTAGTCTACTTTTTAACGATGAATTTTAATAATACGGAGTATCTTTCTATTTTACCACTAGTCTACTTTTTTATTACATTTTTAATAAAAAAAGAAAATCTAAAAGTTTACAGTACATGCTTTTTTTGGGAATTTCACATTTTTTATTACTCCTTAATAAGCGTATCAAATCAACATGTGAAGACATCTCCGGACGAAGAAGTAATAATAATAACAAAATCATCATCATCATCGTTGTCATCATCATCATCATCAATACTTGATAGAAAAATTACAAAAGATCTTGTTCATCATCAATGAGCTATATCGAAATTAAATAAATTTATTACTCCTTAAGTTAATTTTCAAATTATTGAAAAAAAGTAAAACATTAGTAATAATAACAACAAAATCATCATCATCATCATCGTCGTCGTCATCATCATCATCAATACTTGATAGAAAAATTACAAAATATCTCGTTCATCATCAATAAGCTATATCGAAATTAAATAAATTTATTACTCATTAAGTTAATTTTCAAATTAATGAAAAAAAGTAAAACAATAGTAACATTCATGGACTTCAAAAATAACATAACGAGCTCAAGAAGAAAAATATCAGTTCTTTTATTCTCACTAAATAATACTCCCTACTCTGTATATAATGAGATGCTGCTCTTCTTCTGACCCACACTCCACACTTAGACTAATTCAAGACTCAAAACTCAAAAGTATGAGGAAAGATCCATTTTCGCAATGCGTTTGTTGTCTGTCTGCTGGTTTACCAATTTTGCAGCCACATCAGTTCTTGGGGCATAGATGCGAAAATGGTGGTCGATCGGGTGTGTTCTGAACTGGTTCCGTTTTTGCATTCAGCAATGCCGATAGAGGTTTTAAACATTCCCAGCTCTTCTAAGTTCTTCTTATGAACATGTCAAGTCAAACTCACCAGCTCCTGCATCTGTCATTATTACCAGCAAAGCCTGCAGCACAGCTTCTAGAATACCCTTCTGTGGGTGTGACACATCTGAAGAAGAGAACACATTCGTCTTGTTCCCCATGCCCTCTAACCAGCTAAACCCGGGGTCTTTCTCAATCTCCATATCTTTCATCTTTCTCCTTGTTTCTTTGACACTGTCCCATCTTCCAGCTGCAGCGTAGAAATTCGAAAGCAATATGCTTGTTGCACTGTCGTCCCCTGTGTCCAGTCTCAAGACCTGCATAGCTGCCCGGGCACCTACCTTAAAATCTCCATAGCAAAGGCAAGAGCGAAGCAAAACTCTCCATACCTGAAGAAGAAGAAGATGGTGATGATGATGATCGCCAAATGAAGATTCTTGAGTAATGATGATCTCCTCAACTTCCTCTAGTAACCCTGCCCGGCTTAATAGTGCAATCATGGAAGAATAGTGTTTGAGCCCAGGGTTTATCCCTCTTTCCTTCATGCAGTTCCAGAAAAGCTTTGCTTTGCTGACCAAACCGCAATGGCTACAAGTGGAGAGCAGAGACAAAAATGTGACCTCATCTGGCTCCAGGCCGTTGTTTATCATCTCATTGAAAGTTGTGAATGCGTCTTCAGGCTGCCCGTGGTATCCATACCCTCCAAGCATTGCATTCCAACATTTTAAATCCGGTTCGGTTGCAAGAGAAAACACAAGTTTTGAAGATCTAAGGTCTACGTTTTTGGCATACATGTCCACCAGATTCCCACACACACTCATTTCAGAACCATACCCTTTCTTCACAACCAGGCAATGAACCACCTCTCCCTGTCTCAGAGTTGCTCCTTCAGCACAAGCATTGAGAACCGCGCTAAGAGCGAAACTATCAAAATCCAGACCGTTTCGGAACATTCCATGGAAGAATCTGAGAGAACCATCGGTGTCACCAATTCTACAATGGCCAGCTATCATGTCAGTCCACATAACCAAATCTTTCTCAGAAGCTGAATAAAATATCTTTTGGGCTGATTCGGGATCTTCGTTGCAAAAGTACATTGCTAACAATGTGCTCCCAACATACGTGTTACTCGCGAGTCCTGCCTTTGCAACTTGGGCATGAAGTGGCTTCCCATAATAACCCGAAGGAAATGCACTAGTGGCAGAAATGACAGCTGCAAAAGTATACTCATCCGGTTTGCCGAGAGACCTTCGTGCGAACTCGACAAACATTCTCATTGCATTCTCTCCATCTCCGTTCTCTGCATATCCCGATATCATTGAGTTGCATGATATTGAATCCGGGGTTTCAATCCTTTTGAAGATATTAAATGCCATTACTGTGTCACCACAATTACAATACATATCAAGAAGAGCATTGTGTAAAGGCAAGTCAGCATTGACAGCTGCTATGATCAATTGGGCATGAAGAAGTTTCCCGGTGTGATAATCTCTCAACCTGCTACATGCACTCAATAACATAGAGTAGGTAAATCGTGTGGGACTAACATCAGTCTTAAGCATGGATTTGAAAAGATGAAAACTTTGTCTGAGCTCACCATTTTCTATGTGCCCAAGTATCAAAGAATCCCAAGCAAATGAATCTTTGTGATCCATACAGCGAAAGACTTTGATTGCACAGTCCAAATCGCCACAGTTCGAGTACATACCCAGTAGAGAAGTCTGAATCCGAACATTACTCGAGAAGTCTAAATTTTTCAGACACAGGGAATGGATCACAGAGCCCAAAGTCCAGTTCTTTAAGGTAGATGAAGCTTGTAAGAGGCTAGTAAAGGTGGAAGCATTCGGGACGAGTCCTTCGTCTTGCAATCGTGCTAGTAATTGGAAAACCAAGATACCCAGACGAGGAATGGAAGAATATGACGAAATCAGGGCATTATAAGTGACTACGTTTCTCTGCGGCATATGATCGAACAGATCCCGAGCATCCTTGAGAGATCCGCACCGCGCGTACATGGAGAGAACGTTGTTGAATACATACGGTGACTTCGAAGCTGTGGGCGTGGACGTGACGATGAGGCCATGGACCTCCCGCGCTTTCCGGAGAATTTTTATGGAGGAGCAACAACGTACCAGGACTCGGAGATCTGTTATGGAAGAAACCTCAAGAGAAGGTGGCATACAAGAGAACCGTTGTTGGCTGTTTTTTTAAAATTATTTTTGTCACTTCGTTAAAGCATATCCACTCCCCCAACAAAAACTTACTCCCATTATCCGGTGTATTTGGTGCACTCAAGTAAACAAAGTTTCTTCTAGCATGCTAAAATAAAAATGCTAGGGGTACACTAAAGATGTACTCCATATGTCCCCCACCCCCTCCTTGTCCACTAAAAAAGGCAAAAGGGATATGCTAAGGGTACACCAAATGTGTACCCCAAATGTACATCACTCTCCTTTCTACCATTCATTTTATTTTATTTTTTTTTTTTTTGAACTTTTCTTGCTTTTTTGTGTGGTGATGGAGGGGGTGGGGGATGTTTGGGTTACACTTTTGGTGTACCCCTAGCATTTTCCAAGGCAAAAAGATTTTAAAAAAATAAGTAAATAAAAATCAAATAAAAATGTGTGGTGGAGATGGGATGGTGTACATTTGGGGTACACCTTTTGTGTACCTTTAGCATTGCTCATGCTAAAAACTCATGTTCAAAACCCACTCTATATCATAAAATTTGAAGCTTTAGTGCTTTACAATTTTTATATACATTTATATACTCCTTCCGTCCCACTCTTTTTGTCTAATTTCTATTTGGCACAAGTACTAAGTGAGATAAAGAAAGGTCTGAAATACACCCTTAAATTAAAAGGGCAATGAGAGAATAACACCAAGATGGGTACTCCATTTGTACCCCAAACTAACACAAACACAGACAAACAGATAATGTCTGTGCAGACACAAACATTATGTGTCTGTGTTAGTTTAATGTACAAATGAAGTACTCCATGTTGGTGTACCCCTAGGTTAATTCAATATGAGAATGTTGGCTAAACAGTGAAGTGTTGAAATAATTAATGAATTAAAGCCTTCTTCGCACTAAAAAAATTTAAAGTCATCTTCATTCATTGAAATGGATCTCATTGCAAATGTATTTCTTTCTTCATCAGTCATCATTGGTCAAATTTCACAGCGAATTTGGTTAGATTTATTTCTTCTTCACCTTTCGTCGTCATTGTCGCCGACACCTTCTTCCTTTTCATCTCTGGTGAGACTCCTCACTTCTCCATCTTCCCTAATCCTGCCGCCATCACCTTGTGTGTCGACTTCTTCGTCTTGACACTTGGTAAGATCGTTCGGCTCGTGTCATGTTGTCGCTGCCGTCATTGCCTGGTTAGATCTCTTTAGATCTGGTTGGATTGAAGTGGCAAATTAGATCTCCTTCGATGATGGTGTGGCTGTCCTTGCGAGATTATATTAGTTGTGGCAGTGCTAGGATTGGGATTTGAAGTAATTAGGTGGAGGAGAGATAAATATTCTAAAATTTTAAATGAAGGGTAAAAAAGACATTTGAACACTTAATATTTCCTCAAAAAGAAAAGTAAACAAAAACAGTGGAACAATCCGAAAAAGAATACTACAAAAGCAGTGGGATGGAGAGAGTATAATATTTTAAAATATTTGGGCCCTCTAAAATATTAGGCCCGATCCGATATGAAAATATTATCGTTGTTGGTATGAAATATTTTTCAAGAAACTATTGATTCTATTAAATTGTTGATGGAGAATAATGTGTGGCTCGATCTACATTTCTCGATTATTTAGAACAATCAAATGATGTTTTTTTTAATAAAATAGGGGAAAAAGAGAATATTCATTCATAAATCCTTCTGCTATTTCTATAAAAGAAAGAGTTACTCCTCACACACTCTCTCTAGATTATTTTTAGTGTATTTTTCTTCTTTCTCAAGAACTCAAATGCTCCATTAATGGCTTCTAAGCTTAAAAAATATACCGTATACAACCCCTAATGTTAGTAAAACCCCCTGTTGGTAAGGTGTCACCAAAAAAACTCGTGGTTTTTTTCCGATTGGGTTTCCACGTCAATATTCGAGTGTTTGTGTTTGGTATATTTTTAGATTAGTTTATCGTTTTTGCCCAGCTAGGAACGATATTCCGACCGAGATAATTTACACTTTCATTTGTGATTGGTAAAATTAGTGGAAGGGTTTTTTTTTTAAAGAAAATACTTTCTCCATATTAGAGAAAAATAATTTTGATTCAACTTCAAAGAAAAATTTTCATTCTCTCCCTATCCTATCCACCACGCATGTCACCCCACCTTGATCCCCCACCCTATCAACCCCATATCCCGTTCCCTCTTACCTTGTCCCACCCCATATCGCCCCCACCCACCGTTCCCCCACCCCATCCATCCGGCCATCCCATACCCTTTCCCTCTCATCCCACCCCTATCACCCCCACTTCATCCACCCCACACCTTTTTTCTTCCCACCCCTTGTCGCTCCCGTCCCCTGTTGGGGATAACAAAGATAACATGAATCAATTTGAGATTTGTGTAGTACTTTCAGATTGATTATTTTATGTGTTCTTGTCAAAGTTGAGTTGTCATAAAAACACAGACATGTTCTTGTCAAATTTGACAACTCAAATCTAACAAGAACATGTATGCGTTTTTATGAATCTCAAACTGCCTTCTCGACCAAAGATATGTGGGATTTATAGAGCCGTGAAAGGGAAGAAAAATTGCGGTCGCGTCTCCCATCTAAAACGCGAAACGTGCGTCCCCTTGCATGAATTTTAAGAAACGGGCGCTATCTTTTTCCAAAAAAATTCCTTTAAGGAAAATTCAAAAATTAAAAATTCAAATGAATTTTTAAAATAACATTTTTTCCAAAGTAAAAATTTTTGACCAAGGGCTCTTCTCCTTGGACCTCGCAGGGGTTGCGGCCCCTTGAACCCTGCTCGGTGGCGCTGCCCTTGGAACCCCCGTTAAAACGAGACTGTTATCAAAACAAACTCAACGAAACGTACATTTCTCACTACCAAACTTCTTTGATGATTATTATGATACCATTGATCAAATAGTTTTTCCAATTACACTAAAATACGAGTATTAAACATCCCTACCCCTACTCCCAACGTTAGCCCCACATACACTACACACTCATCAACTCCCCACCTTGCCACCCCCACTCTTCACCATCCTACCTTCCCTTGTCCACAACCACTCTCGTCCTGTCCACCTTCTCCAACCGTCCCACTCTCACCCCACCCCAACCCCTCAACCATTGTTCCTCGTCATTTGCCATCCATCCAACCATCCCCGCCCGTATCTACTCTGCGTCGTCCCTTATGCTACTAAAATATTAGGAGACATTAAATTGTCTCAAAATATCTTTTTTAATACTCCGTATTAATTTTCAAATATTATCAGTAGAAACTAATTTTTAAAAAAAATATGTTTCTTCCTACTAAATAATGAAAAATATGATTGGAAAATAATATTTTTAGAAAAAAAATTTCCCCAATCAAACCCTCTGAATAAAAAATTGATAAACTGCCAAGTTACTGCACTTAAAATTGTCTTTTAGCAATCGAATGTTGTGTAAAACTAAAATCAGTCACGCTATTGCTGTATTGCTACTTCGTTATTGTTTTTACTTTTTTTAAATATTAGTGTTGAATTTTGGGTTAAGTTTAAAATGTGAATCCTTTATTATAATAAAGGAGACTCGGATGCACGAGAATGCGACATTTGGCACGCCTATTTGGCAAAAAATGGAACACATCAGCAAGCCATGTAATAATAGAAAAAATCCTTTAATATAATAAAGGAGACTCCGATGCACAGAAATTTGACATTTGGCATGTCTATGTGGCAAAATTTAAACATGTCAGCACGCCACGTAATATCCAAGTAAACCAGCGAAAATAAATTATATACGATGCACCAGCAGATCTCCTGTTGGAAACAATTGAACGCAGATTTTCTACGCGATAAACACTGGCCTTCAACGAAATTCTTTCCTTCATATTACAACAATACGAACTCCTATTGTGATGATAATATAAAATAATTAAAAATAAATATGAAAAAATATGAATACTATTTAAAAAACAAATATAATATTTTTCATTTAATTTAAATAGAATTTTAGGACCATGCTACATATATTAATCCTTTATCTTACTTCCATATTTAAAAATTACATACTTAAATAATAAGTTACAAAGGTTTATTGTGGAAATTCGTGTATAGTAAGAGTTAAAATCAATAGAGTACCTATATTAATGGAAATTAGAATAT